ATAGAGTTTTCTTTGGAAAATAGGAACAAAAAGAGACCATGAGACTATTTCTCTTTGGACCCTGACCATCTGTTGTCATAACAGGTCAAAGAACATTTAATTTCCTTTCATTACCTTTGACAATAAGAATCACTAACAGAATTTTAGTTGAAGAAACTTTTATAAAATATTACAAATCAAATAAATTGCATCTGAACCTCTAAATGCAACACAGTGGAAAACACAATAGTTCTTTATTTTATCAGCTGTCTGGTCATATATACATCATCTGTAACTAAAACCAAAAGTATTGAGAATGCTATTTATCCAGAGTTAGAAAAAGGAATTATTTGACAGCTGAAAATGAAAAATCACTAATAAGCACTACAGTGTATTGCAGAGTTTAAACAATGTGATTAAGGAAACTTTTGCAATAATAAGGAGTGTATGCAATTCTATTTTACCTTGCTAAAGAATTCCTTTGGGATTTCTTACTCTGTTATACAATAACTAAACTGGACTATTATGTTAAACAAGCCTCACATTCTACCTGTATTCAGTATATATTTAACACTAAGAAATAAAGTTCTTTCAACTTATTGCCCTTCACTAAAGTATCCATATTTTTCCCTCAAATTATTTGCCCAAAGCAGTAAGTAGAGCAGAATGAAAGTCTAAAAGCCCTAATTAATGCTTTGGCCACTTAGATGTTTAAGACATGCACTGTAAACACATTTAAACCATCTTATACAAACCTATTTTTAAGAGATGACACTAGAAATTCTTCAGAAAGACAGAGCAGAAATTTCAGGGAGGGAATACAGTGATGAGATGGTGGGAAAGAAAGCATTTACCATTATCTCCTGCTGTGAGAAGCCAGTAAGAAAACAAAACCAAAAGGAACAAACAAATCCTGCAGCATAATTCTTCATGGAAAAACCCAAAAATGAAAGAACAGCAGCACAGACAATAATTACATTGTCTATACTGTTGTCTTAATGTTTAGAGAATTAAAAGCAATGCAAACAGAAATCAGTCAAGATATGCCCAAGAAGAATGTGTAGATAAGAAGAGCAAAATTTGTCACTTATGCTGTCTGCTGTGGTCAGCAGTGATTAGAATCCACCAAGTCACCAAAACATTATCAAGTGACAGAAATTAAATCAGATGGCTGTCACTGAAATGCAAGATTTGACAAGAGCTTCACATCATCCAGAAAACACCACACTTGATATTGTGTCCCTAAGTTATACTGAATTACAGTTTCTTCAAAGTTTAAAGTTCAAAAATTAAGCCTAATTTTCAAACTGAATTTATGTTCCTTAATTAAGTTTACTTAGGGCACTATTTTAAAGTATTTACTGATGAACAAAATATTCCGATAACTGCTGTTATCTGCTGCTATCAACATCTTTTGAACCAGCAGCTTCACTACATCTAAAGCAGAGACAATTACTCAAAGTCTTTAAAGTCAAAATCCTCAAATTTAAAGTTTTCTATAAATTTCTTCAGTTTGTGCATTAAAATCTGCAAATCATTTACAAGTACTCTGGCCATACAGCTTGCAAATTATTATTCATCACTCAGTAAGTCCAGATACACAAATATTTTCTAGACAAGTTACCATTCTAAAGCACAAAACAATTTTCAAAGAAAACAAAGTACACACATGTGGAAATAATGTTTTCCAAGCTCTAAACAATTAAATGATTACCCAATACTACTTTAAATACTTAAAGTTCAAAATTGTATGCATCTGAATCACCATTTGCAATCCATGTGCTTTCACAGAGTTATAAAGCAATGATGCAAAATCACAAAAATGCATCCAAATTTAACCTTTTGTTTTGCTTTTAAACCCAGCCATAAGGAGGTTAAATTCATAGTGTCAAGTAGGTTGTCACAGGAACATATGAGGTGAAAGTTTATCCTACATTTCAAATTTATTTCCACCAGATGAGGGAAATCAAAGTCTCCAACACTCTCTCCTTTATAGTGTCTCTGCTTTAATCACATTTTAACTTGCAGTGCTGCTCTTCAAACCACTCCTGGATTCAACATATTTCAAATATAATCAATAGAGAAAATGAGAGAGGAAAAACATGTGACTTGACCACTTGGTTTAGAAAACACTAAACTCAGTCTCGACAGTTCATGTTTTGAGACAATTGAAAATGGCAGGAACCCATAACTGTTCTTCCTAGCATCAAAAAGTTTTATTGGTTTGGTCATGCACACAGGCATGAAGAACTAAATAATCTTCTCTCAAATCTTCAGAAAAAGGAAATACAGAACTCATAAAAGAACCATTCAGCAATAAATTTCTAAGTGGGACCTATCACCCTAATTCCCAAATGCTCCACTCAGTTGCCAGTCAGCTCTGAGCTCCCTGTGTATCTAAATTTCCCCATGCCAAGTTCCCAGTGCTATAGAACTCCTGCCTGAACCTTCTCCTTGCTGTATTCTCTACAAAAAACAAACAAACAAAAAAAGACTAGCCTGCCTCAGTTGCTCGCTGAAGTCAAACATCCAAATCCTGAACAAAACAGAATCTTAAGCCCATCATTTGCTTTGGTATTGTCTCTTTGCTTTAAAGCAATTTGGTAGATAGACCCTTGTGGAGCCCAGTTCTGGTCAGTGGGCATTTTTTTATATGGCACAATGAACACAAGATATTTAAGGTTGCACTCCTCGTGTCAATGTAAAGAAATGCAAAGGCTTTCCAGTATCATCATTGGGAAAAAGGACAGAATATATGTTGTGCCACAGAACGTAAGATATGAGAACTACAATGCTGAAATAGCAGCCTACTGTGAACCTGCCTTTTTTGGCTTTCTCAGGCTTCAGTCTTCCCTTCCCTGAAGGCTTCTCATGCTTCCATTTAACATCAAATTTTGTTCTCTTTATAAACACTTACAAATACAGATAGCTAGCTAAGGCACAACGTGGTAAATACCAAAAAGAAACTGGAACTCTATTCAAACTTCAAGAGACTTTTAGATATTACAATAAAGATTCTGAAGTCATATTAAGTGACCAAGGATGAATACCTTTATCATTACAAAAGAGGAGTTGTGTGGCAGTCACATTATGCAAAGATGCTGAAACAATCAAGAATAGAAGATGAGCACAAGGTAGAAAATGTTTAGAATTAGGCTAATATTATAATCCCTGTGCTGTCACTATAACGATGGAGAGAAGCACCAGAAGAATATTCATTCAAGTAATGCCTTTCCTAGGCTAATGAAAAATATTATTCTAATGTTGAAAAGGAACATCCTGCCCTGTCCAAATCCGAGAAACAATTTACAAAATAAAATGTCACATTTGCAGCAGTCCCAGAGGGACATTTTCTTATACCTCAGAGAACTGAAGCTGGTAAAAATGATAATAATTTTTATTATTGCAACAACAACAACAACAACAACAACATTTCATACTCAATAAGCAGGGATGCTTTGTGCTCTCACAGAAATGCAGGGAAGCCGGTAAGTGCTAATGTTTGATTCTGAGTGTGTGTGTCAGGGAACAAACGCGAGCCTTCAGCAGCCGCGGCTGCCTGATTAGTTTGGCAGTCACTCCAAGGAGCCATCAGCGTCTCAGCGTGAGCTTCTCCTGCATCGCTGCTCGCAGCCTTTGGGCAAAGGATCCAATAATGACTCTCGGTGCCGTGACTGAGGCCACACTTCTGCTCTGCTGAGCTGCTCGCTGAGAGGGACTGCATACTCCCTCATTATCATTTTACAGTGCTTTTTTTTATTAGTAGTATTTGTTGGAACTCAAAATGTCCCTCAGACATTTTTGGAGGTTCTAGGTCCAGGTCAGAAGCATTTGAGACCCTGGCAGGCAGCTGGAAACAGCTGTGATTTTGGGTTCGAGCCATGGAATGAGTTACCAACTTTGAAAGTGGAACAAGCAGTCACAAAAGTTTAGATATTATAGTAGAAGTAGTCACAAAGTAGAAGGAAGAATTTTTTAGTATTGTACAGGTGGGTTTTAGCACCTGTACGGGGGGTTTTTACTTTGTACATGGGGGTCAGAAGTTTTAAGATGGAGGGATTTGGGCCTGTCTTGTTCCTCCCTCTTTCTTCTTCCTTACCTCCATGTTCTTGGTGATGTTGGCACTCACAGGTTGGTTTAGAGTAGAAAAGCACCATTTAATATAGGTAATAGGCATTGGTGACAAACTGTAACCATGTAACACATAATGTCCCATATAAAAGATAGAACAGCACCATTTAATATAGGTAATAGGCATTGGGGGAAAACTGTACCCATGTAACACGTAATGTCCCATATAAAAGATAGAAAAGCACCATTTAATATAGGTAATAGGCATTGGGGAAAAACTGTAACATGAGCTTAGACATAGTAGTGCAATAGCTGATATAAGTATGTTTGTATTAAAATGCTGCTTGGATGGGTAACACCCAATGAACACAGGATGAGGACACCTGTAGAGATCTGCCAACCATCAGCACTCACTATCTGATGACAGTGAGTATTCCAAGGCCAAAACTGAAGGTGATGATAAAATCTACTAAAACCACAGCCAAGGAATATTCACACTCTTTTGCTCTATGCTCTTTGTCTCCTATTAAACCTTTATTAAACTTCTTAAATTTTCCCAGGAGAGTGAATGTGTTTTTCACAATTTCTAAGTTATAATAATTTGGAGGGAAGAGGCTCATATTTTCCATTCCAAGGGAGATTACTGCCTTCCTTGGTAGACACCTGTCTTTCCAAGACAATCACAATTCAGAAAACTGGGCAATAGATCCTTATGCTTCTCTGTACTTTACACACAGGAAATACCAAGTCCCATTCTAAGTTGATTTTTTACTTACAGGTAATGATGTCAGCTGAATAGCAAATGCTGGACTTGCTCCTTCCTGCAGTAAGCAGCTTATCTAACAAAATAAATTAAGAACTTTAAGAACCAAAAATGTTAGGGTTTTGAGGTTTTTTTTAACAAGGAAGAACTGAAAACCTCAGGAAGTTTTCACTCCACACTGCTGATGGGCGATTCAAGACGTGGTTTTATTAAGCTGTTGTTTGGCAATTATATTATTATTTACAGAAGTTTTCTTGTGCAACAAATTAGCATTTTTTGATATAATGGAAAGTTTATTAGGAAATACTTTCAATTCTCTGAAACAAGTTAGCACTTATCCACCTCCTGCCCAGAAACAGAAGACATACCAGCTGACAGTGGTTCACAGAAGGTTTTCAAGTCACATATCATAATTTTTGTTCATAAACATTAAAGTACATTGCAAATACACAAATGTGTAAAAACTGAGACTAATTAGATAAACTTTCTGCCTTGCAGCTCTGCCAGACTGTGTAATATTCTTTCAAAGAGAACAAGACAGCCATCTAGAGGGCATGAAAAATAAACTATCTTTAGATCACAGGAGAGCACTGAATAACCAATTCACTCACTGCAAGCCAAAAAGAATGAAATGGATCCACACTACTTTTAGTAGCTAAAAATCACACTACTTTTTTTTTTTATTAAACCAGGCAGTTTAATATTACTTGGTATTTCAACATATTTCCTCTGACTTTCTCTTACAGATCTCAGATAAAGAATAATCAGTTAGCAGCCTAAAAGATATTTGAGGGTGGGAAGATTGATGGTGGGAGAGAGGGATGGGCACAACAACAATAAAAACTTGATTGTAAAAAATCAAAGTCAAGCAAGATGTGGACAGACTACAATAGCTTCTCTTTTATTTGCCCCTAAGTGACATAAAAACAGGGAATTAACATCATTCCCTTTATTTTGTTATGTCATAGGGTAAAAGGTTTTTAAAACATTTTGTTAGGGAATTACAGATTTAACCATATAATATGAGACAGCAACTTCCACTTTCCGTGACACTCTTCAGCCTCTCGTTCCCCAGCCTGTCTGGATGTCCAGGGTTACCCATCCCAGCTGCAAAATCCAACACTTCGCTGGGTTTCACACAGCCCGTGATTGCCCCACCCTCTAATTCGTCAAGAGATGACATTTCCTCCAAACTTAGTATCATAAGCAAACTTAATTAGCATCCCTTGAAGCCCAGCTTCCAGCTTGTGTATACCGACAGCACAGGACATTTTTACCAAATGTAAGCCTCAAAAAACGCCAGCATTCAGAAAAGGCACCTCTAGAACTCCTTTTTTAAAGGCTATATTTCTCCTTTTACCCGTTTCCACAACTGTCTGGGTAAAAAACTGTGCTGGGATAGTAAGAGAAGGAAAGGAAGGGAGAGGATGGGCACAGGCACCGCAGCAGGACTCAGTGGAAAGGCATTTTTTAAAGTCTTCTTGCAAAGAGTTACCAGAGCGCCGTCTACCGCGAGCGGCTGCTCCAAGCCCAAAACTCAAGCGCGCTATTCCCAAAGGGAACACGGAATCTTTCCTAAATGAGGACGGACAGAGGAACCCGGCCGGCCGGTAGCTGCCAGCCCCGCCGCGCCGCAGCTCCGGTACCGCGGGGGCAGCACCCGGTGGGCGTTTCACCGCGAGTGGCGATCATCACCGCGAGTGGCGATCATCACCGCGAGTGGCGATCATCACCGCGAGTGGCGATCATGACCGCGAGTGGCGATCATCACCGCGAGTGGCGATCATCACCGCGAGTGGCGATCATCACCGCGAGTGGCGATCATCACCGCGAGTGGCGATCATCACCGCGAGTGGCGATCATCACCGCGTGTGGCGATCATCACCGCGAGTGGCGATCATCACCGCGTGTGGCGATCATCACCGCGAGTGACGGCCGAGGATCGCCGGTCCGAGCCCAGGCCGAGCTGAGCCCCGCTCCGGCCTGAGCTGCCCCACGCTCCGTGGGGACATTGCTGTCCGTGAGATACAGAGCAAGAGATGCAGTGAGGAGGGATTTTTTGGGATTCCCAGCCAAACGATAGGCGCTTTAGACCTGCAGAACAGCAGAGATGCTGCCTTTGATTGCTCTGTCCCTCTTCCCAGGCTTGGCCTTTCCCTCCATCCCTCTCCTGTGCTACAGCTGGCGTAATTGCCAACGGGAAACTCAGCCAGTCATCAGCAACGCCCCGATGCCCAACAACGCAAAGCTTTGAAAAGTACCTTGCAAGGGATTGCTTTATTCTTCCACAGAAAGATGGGTTACCGTTTTGCCTATGCCCTGCCCTGTCAGCGCCATTCTTCTCCTTAAAAGCACACATACTCAGTTGTTTGGAAAAAAAGATCGCAGAACGTCCACACCACTATAGGTTCAGAGGAGGAAAAAGGGGGGGGGGGGGGGGAGGGAAAGGCAGAAAAGTGAAGCCCCAGTTGCTGGTTTCCTCTGTAAGTTCAGTGCTTCTATTGGAGATACTGTGATACTGCCTTCCCTTTTCTCTAATAGGATCTCTCCCTGCAGAAGGTCAGCACAGGAAGGAGAGACAAGTTCCTACACAAGGGAGAAAATAAACCCTAATTCCTATCCTTCCTCCTCCCTGGGACCATAAAAATTTCAGAAGCCAAAAACTGTCTCTCTACAGCACCAACAGGCTATTAAGACTCCCTTCGTATAACAACATCTGATTTAGTTCAGCAAATAAAAGAAATACTATACACCTTACAAGAGACAAATTTAACTTTCAGAGCTTAGTTCTGAGTCAGCTTTTAATTAAGATGAAAGCTAAGGGTGACTAAATAGGAATGTAGTATTTAACTTTTTTTCAGTATACCATAGATAACATGGCTTTTAAAAGTTTGTTTAACCACATAGGCCTTTGTAGACTTCTGTCCACAAAGACAAGCAAAAGTAATAGTGTTACAGTTTGACTTTTTTTTAAATTTTATTAGCACAAAATCCTGTAGTGGGTGAAAAGAAAGAGAACATATGCATGTACTTAGAACATGGAAAACTCACTGCACAAATGGGGATTCTTTCTTCCTGTTATTTTGCCAATTACTTCTTCTCCTACCTTCAGAATTTGAACTGTGATAGTGCTTGCAAACTACAAAACCAAATCTTAAGAGCCTGCTGCACTCCCTTAATAAAAGCTCTGCAGTTCCATTAGCAAAAAGGGGCTCAGCCTAGATTTAAGAGAACAGACCTAGAGCACTTAAATTCCAGTTTCCTGCTGTAAAAAAACCATTTACACAGTATGTGCATTCACCCCAATGTTAATGCATGTATATTCAATTTTACATATATCAATGGAAGCTCATTCTATAAGCACAGAAGCAGTCCCATGGTTATTTCTATCCACATAAATACACCAGTTGCAGAGATGACTTCAATTAGTTTTTCTTGCAGAAACTTTTGTAGTGGGACTTGTATAGTTGGTCCAATGGCTTTGCAACACCTATACACACACAGGGACAGGTAAAAAGAGGCAAGGTCTTTATGGGCCAGTGGCTGGGCCTCCTGCACAGCAAGGCTGGTGTACACAATGACATCTGCAGTAATAATACCAATAAATTAAATAATTCACATAAACTGCCCATAGTATGAAAGTCAGCAGAATTCACAAAGTCAGAAAAACCACTATTCTAGTCAGATTGCACAGCGACAAACAAGAGGATGTTTGTCATAGTACAGAATCAATGTACTCTCAAAGTCCAGTACTATTAGTAAATTATGGCACAGTGAACTTAACTGCCATGCACAGATAACACCCTCAGACATTTTGCTAGGAATTGTCTTGATTATCAGTCAGAGAGTGGAGAAACATCCACCATCAAAAGTCAGTAACTTTGTAATTTCTTTGCTTGGGAATAGCTGAAAGTGGCTGCTTTATTCCAACAGATGGCAGACATCTCAGTTTAGTTAGCCATGCAATTGTTCCCTGAATAGGATTAATCACACAGATTTATGACATCCATGTTTTTGCAAAAGAGAGCAGGTAGTTTATTTCTGATTTTAATCCTTCCCTTCCATCAAAGGGGATATATCAAGAAGTGTGGTCTGAAAGCAAAGTATCACTATCTCTTAAAATGAAGCTCCAGGTCAGTTCTCTAAACAAACACATGATCACTACAACAGAGCTCTCTATCTTGCAACCACTTAACAAGCACAGAATTCATGAGAACTATGAGCACACCAGCAAGAACAAGAACTACTTAATGGAATGATTTGAGACCAGCCTCAGCAAGCAAAAAGCTTGAGTTTCACAAGCCTTAATAACACCAATTTTGTTTTTGCATGACAGGAGGTAAACTTAAGCCAAAGAGGATATTCTACAGATTAATTTTTAAAAAATTTAAAAAGTTAAGCAAGTGACTGTTCAGTGTTTCACACACAACCCAACTCAATTGTTTGTAAGTTTTGACCAGGCCATCAGTCAGACACAGACTGTTAAAAGAGGACTCCAAACTGAAAACCTACTTTTTTGCAATACAGCTGATTTCAAACTGACATCTCTAACTCCACTGGCCTCAAAGTATTTTCACAGTAGTTTCAGTTGCCCAACGTGAGTTACAATCTGCTGTTCCACAGTTAGGACCACTCTTCTCTGAAACATACTTCAGGCTTTCAGACTACTCCTCTCTCGTTCCACAAAACTTTGGAGTGAAGAGCTGACAAGTCTATCCAAGGTCTTTAGCTTTCCTCTAGACTGCATTCCTAGGTGTGCCATTGTGAGTCACTGCTTTCATATTTGAGGTGCTTGATTGATGGTTGCAGATCCTGTGGGAAGCAACACCTACTTCAAAAACTTCATGAATGGCTTTGCGGAAGCAATGGAAATTGTAGTCTATCAAACCTGTCAAGGAGAGGAAAAAGTGTGTTCAGATTGGCACATTTATGTGAACAGAGCTTCAAAATCAATATCAAATTTAAGCAATAGGTATTTTGCTACTTATTTAGTATAAATTCAGACTCAGAAGATTTAAGAAAGTTTTACTGATGCTAATATTTATTTGTACTGTCTCATTTTTTTGGGAAAAAAGATACTCATTTGGAATGCAAGGTGTATATTCATGACCAAACAGTAGGTAAGGGGCCCACTGCTCCATACTGATCCCACTAGAACAGATGGTAGAGACAGAGCTCATGTTAGCTACACAAGTCATTTTGGCAGGAGGATGTGATTAAAGTGATGATTCACAAATTTAAAAATACGACCTCATTATATCTATCTCCAAAAAGATAAAAAACTCCTCCCATAAGAAACTACACAAATTTAGTCACACAAAAATCAAGGTGACTTGTAAAGTCATATTCATATTTGACAGCTGATAAAAAATATTAGATAAAGGCTGTTCAATGGCAGAGAAGTTCTTACCTTTGCGTTCAAAACTCTCTTCTCTAAGAATGCAAACTAATGCCAGAAACTTTGTTACTTCCTTTAAGTACAGAACTGTTGTGTTATTGAGTTTGATAATTGCCATTGACTCTTTATCATAAGCACTTCCAGTGCCATCTTCTTTTAACCTAAAAAAGAACAAGTTAACCCAATGCATAATCTAATAGGCATGAACATGTAACTTCCAAGACAAACAGCTGTTAAATGCAGTTAGAAGAATATTACTCACACTGAACTAAGCAAATGGAGAACCTGCAATGCAGGTCTTAATACTATCAGTGAGTAAGACCATTATCAGACCTTAAGATTCTCAGGAAAGCCAGATCTAAACAGGACAGAGGCCTTCATTAGATACTATCACAGATGAGCAATTAAGAGCAAGCTACCAGTGTGCATTCTTTTGACGTTTGGATTGACAGCTCAATGAAATTACTTTTGGTAAATTAATACAAAGGCTTCCTTAGTGAGGCTGGGGCAGAGGATGTAACATGGAGCAGGACACTTTTTGGTCTTAAGCTACACCAGCCTGTATTTACAAGAAGAGATGAGCACGCTGTTTTCTATCTTCAAGTTATTAGTGATAGCTAAATTACTATAAAATTCAATGATGTATTGGAAGTTACTTCTAAGCACTCCAGAAAAAAAAAAAAACAAAAAAAAAAAAAACAAAAAAAAAACCAAAAAAAACCAAACCAAACAGTTACACAACCCTGGATCAACCCATCAGGAGACAGACCATGAAATGCTGTGGTATTTTCTCGGTAGCACTGCATTTTCCAGGCTACAATCACAGTTCTAAGACAAGTTACCACTTCTTCAGAACTGCTTCTAAAGTCCAGTGGGAAGTATAATTCTGCTGTAAATTGTGAGATATCAGCACTATATGTATCCTTCATAGAAAGTCAGCAGCAGATGAGTTACCTCACAAATGTTATTCTGTTCAGACTGCAGCAAGTCTCCAAACAATGTCACTGCAAGTTACACTTATGGCATGCTATTGACCCCAGTTATTTGCAGGTATTTATGTACTTGCTCCACCATGCCAAACAAGACACAGCAGCATTCAGATTTTACATGAAACACAATTTCTACAAATGTCAGATAGCTGTCTAGGGCCACCAGTAGGGAAACAAACCAAGTATAAATGCTGCCAAATAATTTGGATTTATTTCAGTTACTCACAGAACCAATGTGCTCTAAAGATCAATTGATAACATTTTGCTGCATGACAAAGCCAGCAAAAATTGCACAGTTTGTAACCTATTCTACACCTTCAGAAGACTTTTTTCTCTTTTTCCTAAAAGTATTCATCACTTACCCATATATACAGGAAACATCTATCACTACATCAATCATGTCACAGCACAACTCATATGACTGCATGTCCACAGGAGAACTGTCTGTTGCAATGTAGATTTTGCTGACTACATCGAAGAGAAAAGCTTTTTCAATCCCTGAATTCTTCAGAAAGAGAAATAATTTGGATTAATTTTTAAAGTCTCAAGTATAATTCATACATTTTCACATTCTTAGTAGCAGAAAATGGTTTAAATACATGCAATTTAGAGGCTTTAAGACAGATTCAAGATTTAGAGCATGTACCTTATAAATACAATACCCTTGTTGCCACAGTACAAATCAACATCATATAGATGACAAAAATAAAACAGGGGACTCTGTTACAATTCTTTTTAATTTATTATTTAAGTAATCATTATTAAGGTTACATTTTACTATGCTTCCAGAATCCATATTCAGCAATTTACCTCTTCTGTGTGTTTCTATTAACTCCAGAAGAGCCATAATTACATCCTCCTAAGGAACTGGGCTCAGAGATGAGATATTTCATAGCAGTATGCTGACACATTTTATGCCTGTAGTATCTTGGCAGCTCAATTTCTGCATGAAGCATTTGCCATGCAATTTAACATGCAGAGCAACAAAGTCAGCTTCTGAAGTTAAAAGTCCACGAAAAGTACCACATTATAACTACAGGAAAGCACAATGCCATTTGTAACTGAGCACTTTGGTAAAGTGCATATGCTCATATTAAGTTCAGAAGCCTTCTGTGGTTCAATTTATCACACATACACTACTGGCAAAGCTTCTTTCCTATTTATGCACCAGAAGCATTCCTTATCTCTTCCTAGCTAGCCTGAATACCCAGGACAGTGTCCCGAAGACATCCAAACAATCTTTCTGGAATCAAGATTACATCTTCATGGCACTGGGCAAGGTCAACATACCCTTTATCCACTGGGCCCGGTTATTACAAACAGTCCTCTACCAAACAAGCATTATATGGTAGCATGGGGTGACATGTCTAAGTGTCCAGCTCCTCCTGGATATAGATGTTTTTTTCTTTGTTGCCTCACAGACAACTTAAATGAGATGGACTCGTCTCTAGGGTGATATTTTATTTGATTAAAAGTACAGAGCAGCAAATTTCTCTTTGCTGCTAATTCCATAAGAAACACAAACACTAAAAGAATAAGGGCAAAAGTCTCACAGGTCATATGAAATAGACAGCTAAGTCCAAGGCCAAGTTCATATTATCAAAAAAGTCTCTGGCTAGTACAGCTACATTAGACTTCTAAGTGCCTTAGCAAAGTAATCAGTATACCCTGCAGGCAGGAAGCCTCCATCAGCTGTTATAAACAGGCAAAACACACTTTGTCAATATTTAGAGAAAGCCCACAAAGCACACATCAGTACAATTTAGCTGTGGTAAAGAGCTTTTAATATAGAAAACCAAGTTGCCAGAGTACACCTACACAAGTGCCACCCAAATCTCTCAAGAGCAGATCTAGACAGCAATCTTTAGCGGAAGAACTTGCTTTACCATTCTGGGAATTTCATTCAAAGTTCTGTTAGATGAACACTTACTGATATGAAGATATTAAGTAGATTTTCCAGGGTTGGCAGTTGTGGAATGAGCTTCTGTACCACTTTACTGAAGGCTTCAAATATTGAATGGTCATAGATACTGGTCAAATAAAAGCTGAGAGGAGGAGGGAGGGCAAATAAAGAAAAAAAGAAAAAGAAGATTCAAGAGTATTTCCGAATTGTAACAGAAATGTTAAAGTTACATTTTCTAACATTCAGGCCTGCTACTTTTGCCTGGGATGCCTTTATCACAAATATGTCTGGACATTGCACAAAGAACCAAGGTTCTGAGCAGATGGAGTACATATGAAACAGATTTTCCCCATCCTTGAGAGATGGGAGACCAAAAATAAAAATTTGAACATTGTTAGAATGCAGTTGGGCCACACAGTGCTTATCACAAAGGTGTAAAATTCAGATTTCTTCCAGTCCTGTTCCTGGCCTTCCACTATTTTCACATTAACATTGAGAGATACTGGCTCCACAGAATCAAAAGAACAACATATCCAGAGAAAAGACAGCTTGTTTCAAAGGTGTCTGTAGAAGACACCTTAAAGGTGAGCCAAAACTCAAGTAACAGACTAAGCTTTTAGAACCAATCACACTAATCACAGGGAAAAGTCAGTGCAAGTCAGGACTGGAAGGCAGAGGCTCCCCTCTCTCTCCCTGCCCCTCCAGCCCACATGCACAAATCTGTTACAAATCTGTCACACTCAAGGTGAAATACTTTCAATTATCACCAAGCAGGGATAAATCTGTTGATTGGAATCTGATACAGTAACCTGCCTCTTTTCTAGTCAGCCTAGCAGCTGAGGCTTGCTCATAAATTCAGCAGTGTATCTTATTTATGCAAGCTGAATCAATATTAAGAAACTACCCAGACCTTGCTCCAGTTGCTCCAGTATTACATCTAAAAGCCTTTAATCTGTATGCATATCAGCAACAGTATGAATCACATATGCCAGAGTCTTTAACTCACCTAAGGTGAAGTTTCTCAAGCCCAGCATCTGTAAGATCATCATTAGCCCTCTGATGAATATCCCTCTGAGTTTCTATTTTATGGTCATCTGATAAACCATCAACTTTATGAATAAAAACTTCAAAGTTCATTTCTGGGTTGACCTTGTAGGCTTTTGAAACTGTAATGTGGAGTCTTGTTAAAGCTTCCATGTAGTCATCCTGTAAATCAGTTTTGGCAGGAATGAATGACAAAGTTGCTGCCTGACAACTATTCCATTCTGCATAAAGACAAAATATTTCAGTGCAAGACCTTCACTTCTGTAACTAAATAGAAGTATGTGACAGACAAGAGAATACCTTGACGTGTCATAAATCCAAGCAGCATAGATTCTTTATGTCAATTAAGTTTCATTAGCTATACAAGACTTCAGAGCAAAAGTTGGGTTACACCCCAACTCCAGCACAAGGCAGCAGTGATCTCCAAGATGTTCCTAATAACCAGAAAACCTCCCAAGGTGTAATTCCCAGGTTTATTAGAAACTACCAGACACCCACTAGTACCAATATTGGAAACTGAGGTCAGAAGTGTGTTGTTATTAATTAAACTCATGAGCAGAAAAAAGGGATAATTCAGACCATCTAGCTGAGCATATTCTCCCTATTATTACAGAACAGGTACGTTCAGAGTTCAGAGCCCTTTCCACTCTCTCCACCAGCAGCATATGTCCAGTCACTTCACCAAAACAAAACCACACACTAGAAATCAGATTGCCAATGCATCTCTTCATACACAGCAGAAGCCTTATGAACTTATCTAAAAGTATAATTTACTGGCCTCTTGATCATTCCTTTCACACAAAAAGCAAAATTAAAACTTCCTTGTGATTTGTATTTACCTGGGCATCAATAACATATATTAGAGCACCTGTTCCTCTGAAGATCATCTCATAATCAAATGTTGGATCAAAAAAGTCCATCTGTCCAGGAAAATCCCATATTTGGAAGTTCACAAATGAACTGTTGGAAATATCATCCTTGTAGATTTTGTTGGTACTTTCCAAGAACAGAGTCTCATTGGGAGACATTTTGTGAAACACCACCTGTTAAAAGAACACAAATAATAGTGTAGATTTTACCTTATTAGAATAAATTAGTGAAATATTTATGACTTGAATTCTGCAAGTAAGTTTACCCATTCTAAAATGAATACCTTCCTTTTGGTAAATAGACAGCTTCCTGCATCAGCTAAGGAAATTCCCTACCCCTGAGAAGAATCAAGTAACTGAATACAGTTAAACATTTTCACAAATAACCCTACTGGCTGAAGGCACAGACATCCAAGTTACTCTCTTTCCCTGCAAGACTAGCACAGTGTTTTCAAATTCTTTTACATTCAGATCTGATATAAAGCCAGTTAATTAAATAACTGCAAGCTTTTAAGAACTTTTCCTTTCCAGTCTTAGAAATTCCTAAAGGAAACTTTGCTTTTAGTCTGGTGTCAAGTGTTAAAACACAACATAATCGGATGGTTCCTAAACAACAACAAAGAGTACAAAAATAACATCTCAGTTTTAGAGAGCCAGACAGCTAGGTAGTTTGCCATCTATTAACACCTCCTTTTGAGTAGAGAATCACAGAATGGGTCAGGTTGGAAGGGAGCACAGTGGAGTTATCTGATCCCTGCTCAGGCAGGGTCATCGCAGAGCACATGACACAGGATTGCATCCAGACAGCTCTCGAGTAGCTCCAGTGAGGGAGACTCCACACCCTCTCTGGGGAGCTGTTCCAGGGCTCAGCCATCCACACAGTAAATAAGTCATTCCTCATATGTAGGTGGAACTTCCTGTGAAAGTTCACCAAAGAAAGGATGAAGGATTTCACACCAGTTGGCAAAAGCAATTTAGCTGCAGGATGACAAACATACTCATTGCCAGAACTCAAAAAGCCCCACCGGGATTTTAGCCCTTCCTTGTACAGAACCAGCAAAAGCAGCCTGTAGCAAAAACAGTGTCAACAGAGAACGTTGTGCTAATGCAACTCAACTAGACCATATGAAAATTACTCCAAACAATGCAGTCATACATTAGGACTGCAAAAAATTAAAGAAGTTTCATATACAACACTTGGTAAATCTAAAAAACTTCACAATAGGGGCGGCAAACTTGCTAATCTTGGTTTCTTCAAATGCTTCATACAGTTACAGAAGTCATTAGAGACCTGATGCAACAAACTGTCAAAAAAACTGCAAGACAAATACCTCCACACCCAGTACAGTTTAGTGAGGTTCAAAGTAATACTTCAGCCTAGATTTTTAAGGCCAAGGGAAAGAATTTATTTCCTTGGGACAAACATCTTAGGAAGCCAGAGTCTAAATGAAATTTTAAACAGCAGGATATTTGAATGGAGAAGTAAGAACACTTCTAGATACACAGCAGCTGTACTGCATTCAAGGTTTGCAGCTTAATTTTCAAGTATTCTGAAATCCACATTTCTTTTGGAACTCAGCATCTCCCACAAAAGCAGGACAGAATTAGTAGATTCAGTTTAAAGTTAGTAAGTCTCTGGGAAGCAGCACTGTCACCTCCTTTTTCCTTTTTTTCCCAAAATAGCACATTTCATCAGATTGATGTTCTCCACCTGAACTCTTTCCAGTTCCCTATTACATCAGTACATACAGTAAGTCCAGTTATGCAAGTTTGCACATAAATTTATGAACTGAGGCAATCAGTGCATTCCCAAAATCTACCGACAATTCGCTACTGAATATTCACAGGTTACACCAGCATGGAAAACCCAATTGACCAACGGAGAAAAAAAGTCCCTCCCCAGGACCCTGGCTTTTTCTTTTGTGAGTGTTCTCTTGTCAATACTACTCTCAGTAGAAGAATGAAATTATTTAATAATTCGTGTTTTTCACAGAAACTTCTAGATAATGACAAAGCCAATGCTTTCCCCAATACAGTGCTTATCTTCCATATATCCCTATTTTCTGGCAAGCGGATAAACAGCTAGTGCCCAGACAGAAGGGCTAGGTCTGCCTATGCCTATTTTTGAACTAGAGAGATTTAAGAGCAGGGGCGCTGTTAATAAGAAATTTCTTTATATTAGACTTTGCTCAGGCAGCCTCACAATGAGGTCCTAGGTACCAGAATCATGGCTTCTAATTCCTAAGTAAGGTTGGTAACTGGCAAAAGAAATATTCTATGTCCCCTTACTGCATATTCAATATGAGACTATTCCTTTCCTACACAACTACTGGAATAGGCCCTCAAAGAATTGAAGACTACCAATCCTGGCCATAAAAAAGTCCAAAAGCTACATCTATAAAGAGACTTGTAATGGCTTGAAATCTGTCTGTAATCTGGAGCTCCTGTCTTCCTCTAGTTTTTAGGGTTCAATTTTTTCAAAATTGGATAATACAATCAGATCTCTAATAAGAGTCTACAACGAATACCATTCACATGACTAAAAGAGTTAGAAAAAGGCTTTCAGTGAAAGCAGTACATTTGCACATACAGTGGGAGCATTTGACCTAAATAATGGGGAATAACTGTAAGGCTAAAAAGCAACAACAATCCAGTCTGCCACTGTATTTTAGCATAGCACAATGGAAAAGATCTCACTAACAGAGGCCAAAATCAGCTTAGAACTCATTCGTTTACTGTAGTCTTGGATCGCCAAGCAGTCTGCATAAGATTGCTAAAAGAAGCAGATGCATACCTTCTATATTGCAATGTCCATAAAGGCTTCTCTGCACAAAAACTTTATAGAAATCTCTGTAGATTTTCACACTTGCATCTGAAACAAATTTGAGGCCCTTAAGTCTAGAGCTGAGACTTATGCATTTCGCTAGTAACATCTTCCCATAAAAATATCACCTGGAAAGTTCACAGGAGGGACTGCAAACAACATTTGCACTGAGGAACAAGGATTGTTCTGACTGCTACAATTCTAGCGAGCTACCTGGCAAATGAAAAGTCAGTTTTGTCTTATTTTTATTAATAAACACTAGTGACTTCACAAAGCTACCGACAAACCTAAGGCACCGGAACTGTTTTATTTCCTCCTTGAGAAGTGACGCTCGTTTACTCCGGCTAAAGGAAACCAGAGGCTGTCTTTCTGCTCACACAAAAGCAGAAGTCTCTCTCAAAGCATCAAAGGGCACAACAACGGCTCAAGTCTTCCAAGTGGAAGCACTAACTAACCACCACACACCTATACCACGTAACAAAACAACTCATTATAAATTTCACAGCAGTGTCTTCACTTTTTACTTCTGAAGCCTTAAAAGTGAAGAAATACACAAAAGCTACAACCTATGCTACACAACCTTCCTCTCTAGGGCAGACGATCAGAGTCCATTCTGGAAAGTAAACGTCTGTAAGGAGGAGGCTCCCGTCGCTCCAACTTCGCCACACGGGCCCACAATAGAAAGTAGAAATTGCCCGAACGGCAGCACAGCAGGGAGAACCAGCTCGGCGCCGAGAGGCAGCGCGGCAGGCAGGGCGGGGAGCCGCCGGCTGCCCCTCACCTTCTGGATGGAAGACTTGCCGCTGCGCCGCAGCCCCATCAGCAGAATCCGCGGCTTGGAGTCCGCCCCGCCCGCGCCGCCGCCGGGCCCGCCCGCGCCGCCCCCGGGCCCACCGGGCCCCGGGCCTCCCTCCAGCTCCGCCTCCTCCTCCTCCTCCCCGTAGCCGAAGTCCTTGGGGAACGAGTCCGCAGCCCCGAAGCTCCCCCCCACCAACGCCGGCTCCTCCGCTGTGCCTGGCGCGCCCGCCCCGCCGAACTGCAGCGCCATGTCCGCCCGAGCCCGCCGCCCCGCAGCCGCCAGCGCCCGTCCCGGGGCCTCCTCCGGCTCGCCCAGCCCCAGCCGGCACGGCCCAGCCCGGCCCGGATTGGCCGCTGCCGGGCCCCGCGCCGCCGATTGGCTCGGCCGGGCGGCGAGCGAGGAAGGCTCCGGTCAGACGACCCGAGTCACCTGACGGCGCCGCCGCACGTGAGCGGAGGGCGGGGCCCCGGGCGGAGCGGCGGCGGGCCCCGGGCGGAGCGGAGCGGAGAGGCCCCGGGCGGAGCGGAGCGGAGAGGCCCCGGGCCCCGAGCGGAGCGGAGCGGAGAGGCCCCGGGCCCCGAGCGGAGCGGAGCGGAGAGGCCCCGGGCCCCGAGCGGAGCGGAGCGGAGAGGCCCCGGGCGGAGCGGCGGGCCCGCTCCGGACAGCGCCCGCCGGTCCCGCCCCTCCCGCTTCGCCCAAGGCGCAAACCCAACCGTGGCAGGGGAGCTTTCACCGAAGCGGCCGCGTAAGAAAACGTTACCTTGCGAAGCAATAGTCTTCATTAAACAGTCATTAAGTTTCTTCTAGCTGCCGTGGTGTAAGCTGGCACTGAGCTGAAGCTTTAACAAATCTTTGCTATTTCATCACAAACTTAATTTAAGGTTCGTGACATCCAAGTGCTTTCAGAGGGAAGGAAATACAGTTATGAAAACTGTAAGTTTGTGTTACTTCCCTGGCACCGACACCGACAGTCAGGAGCCCATGCCCTGTGATGCCTCGGCTAACACCTTTACCTGCCTGGCTGCTGCTTTAGCAAGACATGCCAGCCACATTACTCAGACAATACTTTCCTACAGCATTACCCTCTCCTCTGTTTCCACATGGTGCAACTTAATGTTCTAGCTTACATCCAAGGAAACTTTCTTCTCTCCTTTGTTCCAGAGGTTGGGGAAATTTTTTCTTGCCTTCCTTGTTTGGCTTTAGTTTGTTGGTTCAGGGCATTTATTTCTAATTAATGCTTTACAGACTTAAAACAGTATTTCCCACTCATTTTACTTCTCTTCTGGTCTGTTTAGGTCAACAGATACACAAGTAAGGTAAGCAATTATTACATTCACTAGCCCTTGATAACAATGACTAACAAAAGTTCTGATCCATCCTACCATATTTTCAAGATAGTTTTAACTTCCTTATTTTTATGATGGGTTTTGCAGACTAACAGCCAATAAATCTAATACATAAGACAACTACTGCATTTCATTTCCCCCTTCCTTTACTTTTCCTGTCGTCCACTGCCATTAAAGTACCTAGTTTTAGGGTAGGAACAAATGCAGCTCTTTAAAATATTACTATACTTTTATTTATTATTTTAACAAAGGTCTAGTTTGCATTTCAGAAGAGTCATAAAACCAATTCAGGGAGAGAGGGAACATAGCAAAATTAATAATAAAAAGTCACACCCACATGTCACCCCTCTTGGATTTTATACTCCTTGTTAGATGAATCAGAAGGCAGAACTCCCCACCCTGTAGTGTTACATGTACCACTCTAATTACACAGGGCTTCCATCACAAATAAGAATTTTGTATTATGTTCAGAACTGCACATGCAGTATCTGGATCAACTCTCCAAAGCCCAGTTTCTGGGAGCAGAGACATGAATTGCATGGGAAGAGGTTCACCTCATGTAAATTAAAGTGTAAGTTCAGTATGTGCTGCATTTCAACACTGCTATATCCATCACTTAAAACTATACTTTCTCATTTTATGCCCTTCTAAGTAGTGTTACCCAGCAGCTTCAGTGGAAGTCTCACCTCAGTGCTGAGTACATAGAAAGTAATTTAATGTCCTGCTTTAATTTACAGTTGGTCCATCAGTGTCATGTCACTCCTTTCAGTTAAAGGAAAACAGACAGATCTGTAGTTCAACAGGACTATTGACCATGCTGTGAAAATTACATGGACTTGGCAAGCAGTTATCCAAAAGTTAATCATAACTGTCATCTTTTCTTAAACACAGAAAGCAAGAACATTGGCCACTATGCTTAACTCAGCAGTTGCCATGGCATCTGCATGCTCTAGTAATGCATTCTTTAAGACTTAGTAACAAAGTAGACAACGCAGAGTTCACACACAAGACAGCATTTCTCAGGAAGCCCTTTATTAAGTCAAGGCAATAAAAGAAAAAACTACTGTTATTCGCCATGCTTCTCATCTTGAGGTGGTTCATACTGAGCCAGCTGTGGATTTAAAGAAAGGAATTTAGTTAGTAGCAATATTTCATGTAACACACTATATTAAGAAGTGAATGAAAATGTGTGGTCTGGACTTGTTCCATTTACTTTATGCATTTTAACTCACTCATCCTTATGCAAGCCCATTTTCAAGTCAGGCAATAAAATAATTCTTCTCCCAAAACATCCATTTCTCACACTGTATAACCATGCAGCCATAACAGGATGATTTTTAAATGCACTTTGAAGCACACGTCTTGCCCTTAACTTTTCCCTGTTTTTAATTCTAGCAGTCTTTAAGTACTTTCATCTTAAATAGCAGTTGATAGTGACTAGGATACTATAAGCTTTCATTGAAACATAATTAAATGAAACAGTCATTCTCATTGCAATAGTATCCAACCTAACATTTCTTGTAATCATTATAGCTTCCATTATGCTTTCTGGAGAGGATAACCTGAGCAACTACATACTCTAATATGACCTTTACTTGTAAAGTTATTACCAAATAAAGATACAAAGTTGTTCACTTGACCTCAGTGGCATTAAAGGCAAGTTCAAGCTTCAAAAACAGTTCAAGAATTATGGCCATCTCTCTGAAATATCCTGGTTCAGTTTACTCAATTAAGATTCTTCCCCTCTGCAAACTGCAGAGCCGGTTAAAAATAAACAAAGTACATATAAATAAAATTTAAAAGCATAAATAAAAATTAAAAATAAACGTAAAAAAATATACATGTGTTCCTTCCTACCAGCAACAGTAAATTGCAACACTCTGCTGCTAACAAGAACCACTAGAATTGTATTTTTTTATTGTTGTAGATATTTTACTACAACAGATGTCTAGTACACAACCCAAAATCAGTTTTCTTTTCTACCAAGGACCTAACTGTGACTCCCAACATACATGAATATCTGATATTTGTGTGAGAGTGCAACAGTAGTTACCAACAAATGCACAGATAAAGGCACGTATTTTATGTTAGAGGACTGCTACAAGAGAACGGTAGTGTTCTCCCTGCATGATGTGTGAACTCCTACAGTAAGTCAGAATGATGGGCATGACATTGTAGAGGAAAGAACAGGAAAAAACAAAACGCCCTAATACTGGAAAATATGTAAAGAAGGAGCTATTATTTAAAGAATGAAGCACCAATGAACTTGTGATTCCAAAAGGCTTACTTTCCTGCAACAGGTTTTGACTTCTTTAAACAAAGACCCAGATTATTCTGCTCTTATCTGTCTACTTACTAGCAGCTGCATTTTTAAGTCTGCTAAAACAACTGGCTGGTCTACTGCTACTCTGCCTAAAATTGTGTTCTTTGTCATATTTCCTAGTAAGAAATAGCAAATGTAGCTGAGGAGTCATAATGGGTAACAGGGAAGAAGGAGAATTACTAGGAGAGCAAGATGGCACTTGGGATTCTCGGGCATTACCCCTTTGTATTTCTTATCCATTCTCACAGAACTAAAGCAAGATGGTTGTCTCCCAGTAAAAAACTCGGGGGTATTCACATATAGCAGCCACCATCCTCTTCCAACAAATGCATGGAAACCTAGCAGTTTCCTGTAGTGGCATGGCAGTTACTAGTATATTGAATATCTCACTCTGTTCACACCTCAGAGCTCTCTCAGACAGCCTGCAGGCCCATTCAAGAACGGCCCTGCCCTAGCTAGCACTTCAGATTCATTGTTGTTCCAGATAAATACCAAGGTCACTTTAAGTAAAAAGCACAAATTATTGCTCCACACGAATCTAAGTGCCTGTGTAAGATCCTGCCATGTGTAAGTCTGTGCCACGTGACACAAAGTAATACATAATTTTCCTCCTTCAATCTGCCTTTTGAAAGGCTTTATAATGGATACAATACCTTACTTGTTTTTCCAAACTGTCTTGAAAGCATGATCTACATAATATCAGACAACTTCAACACATCCACACAAGACTCAATACAACATATTGGACATGATAATACACGTTCCCTAAATAAATAAAATCCCTAGTTTAGCAATATTTTATGTTATATTCTTTAAGAAGTGTTCCATTAAAAATATTAATCTTTACTACAATGAATTCTATCAGCATTTCAGTCATAAGGCTAAACAATGCAACAACATTTATCAGTTACTCTAATGGAAGGAAGTTAGCACTGTTCCAAGTAATGAAAATATTTTTCTTGTTGTATAATATGGAACTATGGAGGAACACCAAGTAGACTTTTACCTTGGTTTTCAGTTTTTTATTTTCTTCCAGCACAGCTTCATATTTTTCTTTCATCTCTGCCACTTCCAAGCGAAGTGCCTCTATTTCCGGATTCTCAGGAGCTGAAGCTCCCAGATGATGCTTCAGAAAACTGATATTTAGATGTTAAGTATTTCTTCAGTTGTATAACTACACTTTAGTTTTAACACCCGTGTTGAAGTTAACACTGCAGTACACATGGTCAAAATTGCAGTAAGCCATTGAGATCACTACAGGAAAAAAGTTACCAGAATAAGAGAGCTTTTCAAATTCATAGCTATATTCCTTAAAAACAAACAGACAAACACAAGATATCAGTACAAATCCTTATGTGTTACTACTTTCTTTTCTCTTCGTAATGGCAGATGTTTTAAAGAATTAAAAGAGTAAAGAAAAAAAAAAGGAGCAATACCCAAAAATGGAGGCTGCTTAAAAACAGCAACAAATATGCTAGTTCCCACCTTCTTCATGTATTTAAAAACAAACAAAAGACAACAGAAAGGAAGTGTGAAGAAGCAAACTTCAGAACCCATTGCCACTGCAGGTACTCAAATCTAAAGCTGCAGGTCTACAACACTGAAATGGCCGATAACTTAGCTTCATAATTGCTGGCATACTAAAATACCCAGCCCTCTGGCATCCTGTCAGACTCCCTTAGCTTGTGAAAATGCAATCATTAGGTAAAATGCATTGAAAAAAGTCACGTTCTCAATGCAGGGCATCAAAATGAGTCTATCCAGTCCACCCATGTGTCAGAAGCAATATTGTGCATGAAGTCTCAATAAATAAGTCACAGCAAAGAAAAAGGATACTCCAGTGCACTATCTGGTTTCTCTGGCTCTTCATATAAGGCTACCAACACTGTAAATAGAAAATATTCAACAATTGCAAGAAGCTCATGCAACTCTAAGTTTTTTAAACACATATCAGCAGTCAGAAAGCATACATGTTGCATTTGTCCATTTAACAAGATTTTCACTTGCACACTTTGACATAGGCAACAGGTCTGCTGTATCAGAGGAGACAGAGCATTCCACCTAGTAACAGCTAAAGAGAATTTTCTTGATCCCTAACCCCACATTGTGTTCTGGCTATTCTAGCACAGAACACAAAACATCCTGAAAAAAATTTACATATGCCACATGCACTCTAGTACTAGCTTTTACAAGTAAGACTGAAATTCTAACTATATTGTTCATAAAACTTGTACTTGAGCTAAGTCTTTAAACCACAAGACATCGGCAGTTTTGTAACTTCCAGCAGAATAGCAAACCTCCATTGATAATCTACAGTTACAAAACTAAACAGCTACTACAGGGCTAGGTGCCACTGATAATTTTTACGGGTAAGGGCTCTAATGGCCAAAACCACCAGACAAAAGCAGCAATACCCCGACAATTTAAGTAAAAATAGCCATTTACATAGCAACATAACGGGAGACTGTCACATGAACACCCAGGAAGTTCCCAATCACAACCACTCCCTGCTTCCCCACAGGGGCCATGTGCCAGTTTCAGAAGTCTTGAGCTACACAGCCAAACTGGTTTTAAGCTAAGTACTTCCTAAATTAAAAGCAAAATTAGTTTGCCTCACTGCTTGGAAGATTTGTTTTGCCATCCCATAGGATGGTACTGCGATTGAAAAATCAAATGGTACTCACACACCAGGCCAAGAGTCTTAGTGCAACAGCTATTCACTTGACATCCTAGATCTGCTGCTGCCTCTTTAAACAGCATATTTTCAATATCAGGAGAATATTAATTTTTTCATTATTAACACATTTTTTTCCACACAATATTGGAAGGTTCTCAAAAAGATTTTAGAAGGATTTCTAAGTCACGTATCAAGTTGAGCATCATCATTTTCTCCAGTTTGATATGGAGAGTCATTAATCCAGAACTTAGTGCCATTCATTCTAGGAAAAAAAAAAAAGCACTAAGTTCTATGCAAGAAAGGGTATGAAACAAAGTTTTTTTTAACATTTGCTGTTATTTCATCTCCAGCACTGACTTCCTCTGTAGAAGAACCTCACGAAAAGCACCCATTGAAAGAAAATAAACTACCCGAAAGCACGCATTGAAAGTAGCACTTCGGCCGAAGGAAGAGGTCTGCAGCACACGACTAGGGGGAAAGGAGCAGCCTTGCCGTCCTACACGCACCTCCAGCAGCGGCCCCCGCGCGGGGAGCGTGCGGGGCAGGGCCGGTCCCAGCGCCCGCTGCCCTCTCCCGGCGTGCACCGCCTCGCCGCGCACCTCGGACTCCATTTCCAGGCCACGCCGCACCAAGTTCTCCGGGCGAGTTCTTCTGCCGGCCGCCTCGCCGGACTGAGTGAGGAGAAAAAGCGATCGGCGAGGCGAGGCGGGAAGCCCATGGAGAGCGGCGGGGCAGGCCGAGGGACGGCTGAGACGCTGCCGTGCGCGGCGGCAGCTGCTCCGCGGGAGCGGGACAGCCTGAGAGGAACGAGGAACGGCACCCGCCCGCAACGCCCCGGAGAGCGCCCGCCCGCCGCAAGCCGGAGACTTACCCTTGGTGAGCATGTCCAGCACTCCCGACTTCTCCAAGTACTGGCGGAACTGCTCCCGCTTGGAGTCCGCGGCCTGAGGGAGGACGCCCACACGGTCAGATCGGCGGCGCGCCCCGCCTCGACTGCGGAGGCGGCCCTTTAGCACAGGCCGGTCCCGCTCTCCGCCGCAGAGGCGGCACGAAGGGCCGAGCCGGTGTCTGTCGGCGGCCCGCCGCTCCGCGCAGCCGGCACGGAGAGCGGCACCGCGCCCACGCCGGCGCGCTCCCCCCTACCTTGTGGTGCGCCATCTGACCCGCACGGCGCCTGCCCCGGCCGCGCGCCTGCGCCCTGCGCTTTAACGGCGAGAGCGCGTCCCCGCGGTTGCCACGGCGACGGCGCCGCGGCAACGGCAGCGGCCGGGGCCGGGCCCGCGCGCCGCCCGCGCTCCCCTCAGGGCGGCCGCGCCGCCTCGGGGCGGCCTCGCCGTCCCGCCGCCGCCCGAGGGGAAGCCGAGGCCCGGCGTTGTGCCCCCTCTTCTTGCGCGGCTCTGCCTCTTCTCCCGCTCTGCCCAGCTCTCCTCGCCGGGGACGGTTCCGGGGCTCAGCTCAGCCCCGCAGCTCTCCGCGGAGAAGGCGAGCGGGGCCGCGCCGCGGGGTTCGGGCGGAGCTGTCCTGCGGGTCGCTGGAATTCTTTCTGGTTTACATAGTAAGCCTTCGGGTTTGTGAAATTCCAAGTGTCTGATTAATAAATTTCAGTAGCTGCAGCTGACTGAAATCAACCAGCAGCGGCTGCAGAGGTGCTGTGAGGCATTGAAGAGTGGTGAAATCTTCGCGTCGAAAGTCTTTTGCCTTAGCCTGTTTAAAAAAAAAAAAAAAAAAAAAGAAGAAGCTGTTACACCTGTTTATTTTTCTGAAACGCTGACAGATAAAATCTATTTATTGTAGAAATTAAAAAAAAAATATTAAAAAAAAAGACCAACCAAATTATCTTGCACATATGATGTTAGGGAGTTTTCACGCTTTCTCTCCATGCTCTTCCACAATGTTTATATTTTTCAGTGGTTACTCTTCATTTGGGAAGGTGCTGTGATTAAACAAAATGTCTGACTCATATCCAGACATAAAAAAGTTAATAAAATTCCTCTCACTGCAGCAGAAAAATTCATTTCTAACTTGTCTTGAACAACAAAAATACAAATGTCATGTCCCATACATGAACATCTAAATGCTAACTTTCTGTTATTTAGTCAGCAGGAACAGAGTGCATTAAATACAAGGCTTTTTATTATGGAGAGATTAAATGCACAACAAGCATTAGCAGTTATTGCCCACAGGATTTTACGCATCAAGAAATGCAAGAATCAAAGCCACAGCAGCAGCATGAACTTGCCTAAGTCACACTATTACAGTTATGTATGTTCCAGGATATTATACAACCTTAAATTTTACAGCGTAAACACAATTATGTATTTATGTATACACATAGAAGTGAAAAGGAAAGAAACCTACAGCGAATAGTTTTAATAGTTCTCGTGTATATTTCTTTAATGCTGCTACAAGCAAAATAGCAGTTTAGGTTTTCTGGCTTCTTTTATGCTAGTATTGTACAGTTTTCAGGCAATCTGAAACATGGCTGGCTGTTAAGTATAATGACAGTGCACTTTAAGAATTTCATTGTGCTGTAACATCATTATGTTATATCTCACAGATTAGTTTTTTCAACAGATGAACAGTATGTCAGATCTGCTAGTAAGAAATACACACAAAAATACTAATGCATTTCAGCTGTGACCACTTCACCAAGTATTTACACTGTTTCAGTGCTGTGCACCTCAAATGAATGTATTCCATACATTCAAAGCTTGATTACAAATGTACCATAATATTTTGTTAATCTTTGCCTCCTTTATAATTTCAAGGTGTTTCATGGAGCTTCCTTTACACCATATGGACCTGAACAGCAAGTGGATAAATGTCCTAATGTTTTGTTATCCCCATTAAAAGCATAAACACAAATGTTCCTCCTAAACAAGTAGAAGCTTTGCTTGATTTAAAAGCTTATCAGAATTCAGGGGAGAGACAAACAGAAAAGGAGTAGTTTTACTGTTTGATAAATCTTTTACATGTCTTTTGACATTGTAACTCAAATCAGGAAGGTACTACCATATTTGCTTTTTTTGGTTCTCTGTTTTTGGGGTTTTTTTTTGTTTTGTTTTCCATAGTAAGCCTTCTGGTTTGTGAAATTCAAAATGTCTGATTAGTAAATTTCAGTAACTTGTTTTCTGATTTTGCTGTCTTATTAGTGTTATGAAAAATGTCAAAAGTAAAGCTCACAACATGTCTGTAATTCATGAAGTTTAAAAAAAAATAGTGGTGTATTGAATTCTGACAGTATACTAAGAAATTCACTTTGACTGTTGTGTTGAGGAAATCAGTGGTGATACACTGAAAAAAAGTACCATGGAGCCAACAAATTAGTGATCTGTTTTGCAAATGCTTTTTCTCTTTGTATTTACAACAGCTTGAACAGTGGAATAAGTTTGACATTCTGCTTTTGGTCAGCTACCAAATGTCTGTTTGAATTCTCACACTGATTAGGCAGAGACATGTTTAACAATAAATCCTTCTGAGAGTATCTTTAGCCTAATTTGATTTACGGGTCTTCGTAAAAATATTGTTAGACTGTAAATTTTGTCTTCTACTTTTTTTCGGTTTTAATAGTATCAGCTGTGATTTTATGCCTTTTTCCTAATATGTGGATTGAGAGGATGTATGTTTTCCTTTTTAGCTGGAGTGTAGAAGTTTATACACTGAGGTCTATGCCACATTTTCATTACAAAGGAAGTAAAGAAACCTTTTAAAATTACTTAGCTACTATTCAAAGGGTTACACAACTATGTAAACAGCTGGCTAAAGCTGAATTATTTAGCTGCACTTACACGCAGGTATAGATAATTCCTCTGTTCAGGAATTATCCCAGCATTGGGTAATGCAGCTAATGGGTTAACTCACACTATATTTGAAGATCAGTTGGGGCACGCCTGCTGCTGGCATTACTTGACAGTGACTGTTGCCTAGACAGAGACAAAAGCTTAGGACTATTCCAATTTCTGCTTTGTGTAGATTCTGAGCTCACCACCCCCATAGAATCAGAAGTGTCTGGTCGGCTGGAATTTTTTCCATCAGCATTGTAAGGAATTTGGGCTTTGTTTACACTGAAACTGCTCTGTCTTCTGTCCCTGTTCTTTGGAAGAGAATTTGTTAATGTTCCTGAGTCCTCAACCATTGTCTGTTGTCTAAAACTGGCACTAGGAAAAGTTGTACCAGGTTGCAATGAAGTTTGACATGGCAACTCAGCAAAGCTTCTCAAGTACATGTTTGAGGCAGTATCTGCACTCTGAGTACCAACAAGAAAATGTTTCTTTTCAGCCTCTTCTTGTGCATCATGTGTCTCAGTCCAAAGGTCACCAAGAAAGCCTTCATTATTATTTGTGCTAGCATTTTGAGTCTGATTGTCTAAAGCATTTGTAGCTGGCCTCTTCTTTGGAGATTTATTTTCCTGATTGCAATGGGTGTAATTGCTGCTGCTTTCTGTACGGTTATTTTGCACAGACTGAAACATAGAAGGAGAATTTAAAACTGGGTAGAGCATAGTGTCAGTTTGCTTTTCCATCAAAAAGGTATAACTGCTAAGAGCACAAGGAAGTGTTTTCTGAGGGGTGGTGGATATTCCCAAAGAAGAGTGTGGTATCGCAGAGTATTTCTTAGATTTGTTTATGTAGAAATTGTCGGAGTCATCTTTGTTTTTATTCTGCTCACAGAGTCCCATTTTAATTTTACGGAATCCTAAGTGGATAATTTCTAGAATATTTAAAAGCAATGATACAGTTGCTATTGATTGCATAAATAATATAAACACTGTCTTTTCTGTTGGTCTAGATACAAAGCAGTCAACTGTGTTTGGACATGGGTCTCTCTGACATTTATAAAGGGGATCTAAGTGAAAACCATAAAGAAGATACTGCCCAATCATAAAGCCAACTTCCACTGCAGATCTTGTGAAAATATGTATCACATAAGTGCAGAGCAAAGAGCCTCTTAGGGGTGCTTTGTTTAGCTTTCTTTGATCCAATTGCCGGAGCTCTCTCTCCAGTCTTTTACGATTTTCAGTCATTTCTAATTCAGTGCTTTCAAGTTCCACCCTTACCTGAGCTTTCTTTTTTTGCCTCTCTTTTTCCAATGCTCTTAGTCTGTATAAGGCATGACCCATATACACCAAAGAAGGGGAAGACACAAATATAACTTGCAAAACCCAGTATCTTATGAGAGAGATGGGAAAGGCCTCATCATAGCACACATTTCTGCAACCAGGCTGCTCAGTATTGCATATAAATTCTGATTGTTCATCATTCCAAACATCCTCGGTTGCCACTCCAAGGACAAGCATTCGAAATATGAAGAGGATCGTTAGCCAAATCTTTCCAATAATAGTGGAATGAATGTGGACCTCCTCTAAAATGCCTCCAAGGAAATTCCAGTCTCCCATGGTTATTCTGCCATATTAACACTAAAATGTATGAGAGAAAAAAGCATCAAACATTGTAAAAGTCGCATTCCTTCCTTAACATATTATGAAAAACACAACACTGGGGAAACTATCGTATCTCATATTGTGACCATGGGAACATGACCAACTGCTCATTTATAATTAGGTATTATTTTCTTTCACCTATGAGATGGAGAACTGCATCATTTGCCTGTGCCTGATTTATTATTAACATCCTGATAAGCACATCACTACAAGATATTAAACACCCTCAGTCTGCATCAGATAAAGGGAAACTAGAGTGCCTGACTTGTAGCAGGATTTAAAGAGCGTTATGTGATCTATTTGAACCATCATCCAATGACAATGTGAGAGCAGTACGTTTATATTTAGGACATTTATCAACATACAGGAATATTTCCTTGTCTTCTTTTTTGGATGTTCCAAGCCCCATGTCACAGCTGTAATTATGACAGTCCAATTAGTGTTTAACAGAAAATTGGTTATATAAAGGACCTCAAGAGGAAATAAATCATCTAATGAAAATGTCAATATTAATTAAAAAGACATGTTTAAGTATATAATTTTGTGCAGAAATTTGTTTTTTGTTTATGGATGTCAACAATAAATAAATAGAATTGCTGTAATTGGTTTGCTTCCTCTGATTAATGATATCTGCATTTGAAATAGTGAATAGAGTGCGAAGTGTCAAGCATTACTACTTCGGCCACAACTCTTTGAAAAATAAATAATTTGCATAAAAATTCTTTACCAGGATTTTCCCAAATGACTGTCATCTGAATACAGATAAACTGGTCACATATGTGTGTAATTGTACATCTCACCTTTCTTTCATATCTTTGTTTCTCCATTAACAGGATATTACACTGTGGTCAAAATTTTAAATTCCTTTTCAATATTTATGTTATTGTATACATATACAATTGTAACACAATTTTTCTTATGTGTGGGGACAAGCAAAACAATTGTAGATTTACCTTTTCATTGTATGTACAGCACAATTCAATAGAATAGTATCTTACTTTGGTGTTTTTTAGGATAAAGGTACTTTAGCATAGCATTTTCTCTTCAAATGGAATTCATCTTCACCCTATAAAACAGGAGTGCTAACAAGTCAACAGAAGCTGAAATCTTATGGTTGCAATATTGATGTCCATAGAGGAATCTTTATGTTAAGCCTTCTAAACATGAAAATACTTTTGCAAATCAGTATACAAATAGGCAGGTTAGATATTCTTAAAAGAGAAACTAATTAAAAATAAATGGTAAATTAAAAATAAAACATACCTTTCTTTACAAAAATACGAAAAATGAAACATCTGCGACGTCCAATTAAATATTACAACCCCTGCCATCTTCCATCTATGTGAGTAAATTGACACATTACAAGCAGTTTATTTTGCTACAGTAGCAAATAGAGTGTGAGCTTTGCACATGGAATTTATATTTGCTGGGGCTGAAGGGAGGAAAAAATCGATCTATTGTTCAATCTACTACCGCTTCAAGCATAATTTAACTATGAAAAGATTCTCATTTTTAAAAAGCTAGAAATAAAAAATCTGCAGCTTTATGTTCTTTGAGATTATCTTCTCTTTTGCCTCAGTAGCACCTTTTAAGTTTTAGGAACAGTCTCAGCCTCAGAAATACAGACTAAAACAGAACTTTCAGTCTACATTTTAGTTTATGTATCTCACTAGCAGCAGACATTCAGCTTGCCTGTGCTAAAGAAGGTAAATCTTCCCAAACACTTTAATTGTAAATTCCTGCAGACAGTCTGTTCTCCTGCAACAGTTTACCACCACACTCCTGGTGTAAAAAATCAGTGGATGTACTTTTGGCAACTCCAACCTCACTCCCTCCTCACAGAGAGCATCTCTTACATTCTGTGATTCTGCACTTCTCATTTATTCTCCTGAGACCATATTACTTGTCATAGTCATGTCTTTAAAAGATTCCTGAACTTGACAATGGTTTTACTCTATTTTCTCCATCCATATAATTCAGTATTTCTTTCTGGGAGCAAATCATTATAATTCCTATCTTAAATGTTAGACATACTAAAGATGTCATTCTTCTTGGTAGTGATACTTACATATAGCCTATATAAATTATTAGGTGACAAAAGTTCCATTTTTAATCCAGACCTTAAGCTACCCATCTGCATTACCTCAGCAGGAAAAATAGGGAGAACGGCTGAAATATTTTCTGCTATAAAAGAGCGCACAAACTGTCTGGTCTCAAAGAACATTTTTGGTACTGATGGTAAGCTGGGGAAACCCTTTCAAACACTCTATACATTAAGAAATGTTGGTCGGGGGGAGGGAAAAATACCTTGTTTTACAAAAAGCAAAAAATAAATAAATATGTCTAGTTTGTGTACAAAATTTTTTTTCTGGAGCCAGCATTAGCAGTGCAGTGGCCACGGGCACAGCCTCATTAGGCATGCCTGTTATTAATGTGCAAGTCCACTGCTAGGACCGATAGGAGTTAAGAAGCATATCTAGCACTCTAATGTTCTTTTAGGTGATCCTCATCAGCACTCTGCAAATGTGTAGTTCTGATTCAAATGTCCTATAAAGGATGAATAAACTTCCTCTGCTGAGAACTCTAAAAAGCTAATCATTATCTTTTAATTTTGGTATTGAAGATCAGTCAATAGGTCATGTCCAATTTCACACTTGACTGCTTGCCTCAATCATTTTGGCAAACTAGCAGTCTCCAGCCAGCCATCTCTATGAAGTATTTAAAGCAGGATTATAAACATATGTCTTCTATTGAGGACTTAAAGTAGGTCTCTAAATATTTTTATGTTATTAATAAAACCCTCTGAGTCTGCTGAAGTGGTCCACAAACACACAGCTCCTGCCAGCTCGTGCAGGGATGCTGAAGCTTTGTTTGAAAACCTGAAGTGTTTGGTGACACTGAGCTGCCATGGCTGGAGATGTACTTGCTCTGTAAAACCTAAATATTTAAAAAAAAAAAAAAAAAAAAAAAAAATTAATGATCCACAGTGTTCCAGGATGCATTATCTCTTTTAAAATAGTACTACAATTAAATGACAACTTGACAACTCACAGGAAAATAAATTCAAGTGCCAACAATAATTTTATAGTGTTGATGCTGCTTTTTACCTTAGTTCAGACAGCTTGGAACTGTGGCTGTTTACATAAACTGTTTATTACAATATTCAGAATTTAGTAATTTAGTGTTGTATGGAGAGGCTATTTATTTTTCTTCCAGGCCTAGAAGCTGCCTCACTGGCTTTTTATTTACTGGAAAACATTCTCTAAATTTTTGTGACTATATTGATTTTTCTTAGCTTAGGGTCAAACATCACAGTAATCCTCCAATCATGGAAATAGTCTCGAAGATCAATGCCTTTTCATTTCTATACAACAATAATGTGCACTTTATGTGTACAATTGATTTCTATTTTCTACTATTATCTGACCCACAATTAACAGCTAGATAAGTAGAGGCACAAACATCAGTGATGTGTCCTACATGTTTTCAGGCTAACATGAACTCACTCCCACAGTTTTCTTTCAGTAGTGAAGAAGGACCACAAATGATAAACTGCAACAACGAGAAATTTGGACAAGTGCACTACTCAATGTTGTCTTTAGGATCACCAAATTCAGCAGTACTGTGTTTGAAGGCAGGCCATAGATTACCATAGGAAGACTGAAGCACATACTCTCCAAATTGGTGTATTTCCTGTGCTGCCTTACAGATTCACTTTTTATTGCTAAGATACACATGCAAATCAGTAGGTGCACATTTATATTTTCACTTTCACAAGCAAAATTTCTGAAGATGTCCTGGCCTATATCAGAAAGTTTAAGGGGATTTTTTACAGTTTATGTCTTTATCTTAGTTCACTGCTGATAGTTTTTAATTTATTCCTCTCTTAGTTCCTTAGCTTTAAAATTTTGTATTTTCTGTATACTTTTATATAGCTTATATTTTCCTCTCTTAATCCATTGTCTGTAAAATTTTATTTATACATATACACTGGTCCCGTAGCTTTCTGTGCCTGCTTTTAGTTCTCTCCTGAGCTTGCTCCTCTTTGCATTTTCAAGTTTCCATATCTACTTTATTAGGCTTCCTCTCTCTAATATTTTTCGTCTTTCCTGCCTGTTCTGTGTCCATCTGCTGGGCTCAGGGCCAGTGTCTGTGGCTGGGGCCAGGGCAAGAGAGATGAGCTTCACCTGGGAGCTGCAGCATCTAGGCTGTACTCATGAGGTGTAAAGTGGCTGAGCCAAGGATTAAGACAGGCTGCAGGAAGGGATGGGCTGGTGTCGCCCCGATTCTTAAGATTTTCTAAAGCCTTCTGAGTTTACATTCTGTTAGAGAACTTTCTCACACAACTTTCTGTAAACAACCTATTGTTTTGCATTCCTTCATAGAGGTGGAGAAACTTGATATACTGGTAGTTTCTCCAATGTCATTGGAGAGGTGGCACATTCACTCTCCAATCCACTGTCACCTTTGGAAAAGTATAAATGCTGGAGTCAGAAAATAAACTCTCTCTCTTTCACCTTGCACCTCGAGTCGTGCTTTCACGTGTCCTACAGTGACAGGCTGGGGCAGCAAATGTGCAGCCACTGAGGCTGGGGTATATAAAGCACCGCCTCTGGTCAGGGTGCTTTGCTGTTTCTTCAGCTCCTAGGCTGTTTCAGCTCTTTGGACAGGTGTGTTCTGGCACTTAGAGAATGGAGCTGCCTGCCTGAGCCAGGGTTCAGGACTGGTGAAGGTTCAGCAGCCTGTGTAGTAGAAAGTACACTTGTGACACCCCCCCAGTCAGGATGCTGAAGGGAATCCCCCTGCTGTGTGACATCCCCCAAAATAAATCCACCAGCCTTGGTGGTCTCAGGGGAATTCATGGTCTCAGTGGGTCTCCTGTTTTCCTGGAGTTGGGCATCCCATGTGTCAGAAATCCCACAGAAATCAGGCTGAGCCCCCCAATCTTAAATGCCCTCCCCCCCAAAAAACGGGTCAGAAACCTCCCTCAAATGGGGCAAAGATCCTCCCAAAAGGGAAAGACACACCACACACCCCCCAAATGGGGGGTATGGAGGGGAGCAGTGTCACCCTGCAAATGGCAGGGGGGTACAGCCTGGTGTATCATCCCTCCCGCAGTAAAGACACCAGCCCTGGTGTCTCCACAATCTCCATGATCTTCATGGGTTTCGTAATCTTCTGGGGTTGGGAAGACAGAGCCCCCACCTAGGATGGGTCAGAGAGTCCCTCAAATGGAGAAAGACCCACACAAAATTATGGGGGGTGAGAGGGACCCTGGATTGTTGCCCCAAATCGGTGCTGATGACGCAACAAGGGAACAGCCCAGGACCTGTGACCCTTCCCGACACCCGCTCAGAGGACCCCCGGGTGACCCCTCCACCTTCACCCATCCTCTGTGTCCCATGGGCCCCTCCGCAGCTCCGCCCCCCTGCCTTATCACTCGTCGCAACAGTGACAGCGTTGGCGTTTTGGTGGCGTTTCCCTCCGGGGCGGGGTTTCCTCGCCCAAGTCCCCCCAAAACGGTCCCCGCGCCCGCCCCGGCCCCATTTGCACCCGGATCCCGCGGGGATGCGGCCCCAGAGAGGTATGGGGGAATAAGGGGGATGGGGGGAGGTGTGTCGCGGGCCCTTTAAGATCCGCTTTTAAGGGATGCTGGCCTTTTAAAAAGGCTGGGACAGGGTGCTGCCCTTTAAAACACCTGGGAGGGAGCGCTGGCCTTTTAAGACGCTCTTTTAGGGGACACTGGCCCTTTAAGAGCTGCTTTTAGGAGACACTGGCCCTTTAAGAGCTGCTCTTAGGAGACACTGGCCCTTTAAGTCTCGCTTTTAGGGGACACTGGCCCCTTTAGAGAGCCAAGAAGGGTCTGCTGACCCTTTAGGAGCCCTGGGGGGAGCAGGGGGGACACTGGCCTTCAAGGAGCGGGGGGATTCCCGGGGCCTCCCCGCTGGATTCTCCCCGCGGGGGAGGAGGGGGTTCCCCGGGGAGGAGGGCGGTGACGGCGGGGGCGGGCAGTGACGCATGGGAATCCCCGTGACGTCACGACAGGGGCATTCCTGCCTCGCTCGGGGAGGGGCCAGGGGTTTGGGGGTCCCGGGGGGCCCCGGTTATGACACGGCGGTTTGAGGGATCTCAGGAGTTCAGGGAGCACCCCCGAACAGGGTTTGGATGAGACACGGGGATCTGGGGGACGCCTGGGCGCTTAGCGGCGTTCCAGGAGTTTTCAGGGCTCCCCGGCATTCCGAGGACCCCCGAACCCCTACTTGCACGCCCCCAGGTCCCCCCCGCGCCGCTCCGCCCCAGACGGTGAAGCAGCTGCTGAAGGAGCTACGGCAGCAGAAGAGCAGGGAAGGGGTGAGATCCCCGGTGGGTGACCCCCTCTCCCAGGCGACACCTCCCGCGGGGACACCCCCGCTCTCCTCCCTGACCCCCTCGCTCTCCCCCCAGGTTTTGGCTCTGCCCTCCCTGCCCTCCCCGCGCCCCTCGGATGGTGAGTGACCTCGACCCCCCAGTTCCTCCCAGATCCCCCTACACCCTCTGCGCCCCGTAAATCCTCTCTATGCCCCCCCACCCCATCCTTACGTCCCCCCAATCCTCCCACTGTCCATCAATTCCCCTGCATGTCCCTCCCCCCAAACCTTCCTAGTCCCCCCGCAATGTCCCCCCCATCAGCTGGTCTTCCCTCAGGTGCTCCCTGGCCCCTTGCCCCGGCAGTGACACCCAGCCTCTGTGCGGTCCCACATGGGTCACCCCATGGCAGCCCGGGGGGGGCCCATGGGGGAAGGGCCTCCGGTGCGAGGGGGTTTCAGGTGAGCTGGTTGGAGGGGACGGTGAGGAGGGGAGAAATGGGGTGTGAACTGGGAGATTAAAGGGGGCAGTGTGGTACATGGGGGTCTATGGGGCAAAACGAGAGGACAGTGGGGGGGAGAATGGTGGGGGGGAATGGGAGGCAAAGGGAGGGAATAGGGGAAATGGGGGGGAGAAGGGGGGCAGACAACTGGAGGGGAATGGTGGGGCAGTGGTGGGAGAGGAGGCAGACAGCTGGGAGGAGAGTTAAATGGGGGTAATGGGATGGTTAAGGGAGGCGATGGGAGGGAATGAAGGAAGCAATTGGGGGCAGTGGAAACAGCAGTGGGGGGAGATGATGTAGATGGGACCAATGGGGTGGCAGCTCGGGGGGCAAGGAGAGGAAAATGGGGCGGATCATCAGGGCAAGATTTGGGGGGGGGCACCTGGAGCCCTGGGACCAAGCCCCCCTTCACTTTGACTGCCATCCTCTCAAGGCTGCTGCCATCCCTGGCCCTGCCTGGCCCCATCCCGCAGTGCCGTGGGGAGAATTTGGGGCCCCCCTGCTGAGAAGGGAGATCCGAGACCCGTATCCTGAACCCCAGGACCTGGCAGCTGCCCGCGCTGCACTGGGGTGCCGAGACCCCCGGGAGCTGCTGCAGCAGGACGAGGAGGGGGACACGTGAGTAGGGGGAGCCATGGCAGGGCACTGGGGGTACAGGGGTCATAAGGGGGTGCGGGGGTCAAGGGGTCCATGGGGGTCAATGGGCTAAATTGGAGCAATTGGGGGGTGTTGCCATTGAGGCAAGACAGGAATGAAAGAACTCCAGTTCAGAAGGCTAGATGATGTGAACACTAGTTATTTCAAATACATCGCTCTTTTATAGAGAGCATCATGCAGACTAGTTCATTAGTCTTAAAGTAAAAACATCTCACACCATTGATGTGTGTTCTGCACGGTGGCAGAACATATCTATAAACAATGTGAACAACAAGAGAGATAGAGAGTTATTTACATTCCTTTGCAACTCTTTCCCAGGCTCTAGCCTGGTTAGGAACTCTGCTTTCTCTCTGACTGAACTGAGAATACCCATAGGGGGGAGTCAATGGGGGGCAATTTAGGGGGTCACGGGTGTGAAGAACTGTCAGTGGGGCCCATAGGAGTGCAATGGGAGGGCAGTGGGGTGAGTGGAAGTTAATGTGGTGTTCAGTGGGGGGACAGTGGGATGAAGCAGGGTCAGTGTGGGTGAGATCAGTGTGGGGCAAATAGGAGAGTCAATGTGGAGGTCAGGGGGGAGGCAATGGGGGAGTCAGTGGGACAAGGCAGTGCTGGGAAGCCCCCAGGGGCAGTTGTGAGCCACTGGGAGGGGCTATGGGGTGACAAGTCTTTTTGTGGGGTCTGGGTTCTGGGTGTAATGTGGGGGGTGGGTAGAGGGGCAAGGGGGTCCCCTCTAACCCTCCTCCGCCCCCAGGCTGCTGCACGTGCTCTGCGCCGGGGGACACTGGGCACTCGCCCGGGCTGCAGCCGAGGCTCTGCGGGACCTGGGGGGGCTTGAGGTGCGCGAGCACCTGGGCAAGGTGAGCGGGGGACACACCTGGGGGGCCTGAGGGGACATCTGGAGGAGATCAAGATGCAGGAGTACCTAGGCAAGTTTGGTGGGGGTGGGGGGGAAGGGAAGCTAGAAGTGCAAGAACTCCTGGGAAAGTTGAGGGCACTGGGGGTAAAAAAGGGGTTATAGGGGTAATAAGTGGGTCTTATTGGGACAATAAGGAGGTGGCAGGGGTAAAAAGGCAATAATGGATCAGGGGGTGATGGGGGTAATTAATAATGGGGATGGGGTAGTTAATTCTGGGATAATTAACCACAGGGTTCTGTTGCAGTCTAATAACAGGGGGAGGGCTGGAAAATAAAGAGGTAATTAATACTGGTGGGAGGGTAATAATGAGTGATTAGTGCTGGTATAATTAGAGTCCAATAAAGGGTAATGAAGGGGATATTAATAACAAGTAATTAATGAGGGAATAATAAAGGAATGATAAAGGGGGGTAGAGCAGTAGCAGAATACCAGGGTGATAATTTGAGGGGTCAGGGGTGCTTGATGCCCCCCAACCACCTCTGACTCCCCCAGATCCCACTGAACTTCCTTTTTTCCCTGCAAGAGCCCCCAGATCCCCTTTACCCCCTAGACATCTAACTTCCCCCAGGAGTCACACAAGTCCCCCTGACCCCCGCTTCATTCTGTCCCTGACCCCCCCATTTTATGCCCCCAGACTCCACTGCTGGTGGCAGCAGCAGCTGCAGCCCCAGAGATTGTGCGGGACCTGCTTGTCCTGGGGGCCAATCCTGATGCTGCTGACCACGACGGCCGCACAGCCCTGCACCTGGCCGCTGCCTATGGGCACCCTGAAATCCTCCAGGTGAGACCCCAACCCCATGAGGACCAGGCAACTGTGGGGACCACAAAACTCTCCCAAAGGGGACCCCAAAATAGGTCCAGAAAGGGCACGGCTGTCCTGGGAGACCAGGGAACTTGCCTAGTGGGGTGCCTGGTATCCAGGGGACCCCAAATCTTTCCCCTTGCCTTCCCAGGCCATGATATCCTCGGGGGTTCCTGTCAACGTGGAGGCCAGAAATTTTGAGGGTCAGCAAATTTGAGGGGGGGCAAGGGTGGTGGAAGGGCTTGGGGTGGGGCCCCTGGTTTTGGGGTGAGGGTGATTCTTGGGGAGTCCTTGTTTGGGTGAGATCGGGGAGAGTTCAGTTGGTGGGTCCCAATGGGAGGGGGACTCAGGGGTCCCTGATTTGGGGTATCTGATGAGTCCCTATTTTGGGAAAGTCCCACTTGAGGGGTACTCAATACAGAAGGGACTTGTGGATCCCTGGTTTGAAGGGGATGCTGGGGATCCCCATTTTTTGGTAGCTCTTGGTGGGATTCCTGGTGGATGCCTCACTGTTTTGGGGGGATGGGGGATCTCCAGTTTGGGGGTCCTGGTTGATGACGGGCGGGTCTCAGGGGGTGTGTCTGTACTTTGAGGGAGTCCCTAGGAGAGTTCCAAATTCTGGGGGCCCTGTGTGGGGAGGGGCCCTTCCTGACCCCTCCTGGTTCTCCCCCAGGCCAGACCCCTCTGCACTGCGCTGTCCTGGCCCACAACGCCTCGCTGCAGGGAGGCTACAGCCCCACGGGGGGCTCTGGAGGGGGGTCCCCTACTCCCCAGGACCAATTCCGCTGTGTTGAGCTGCTACTGCAGATGGGAGCAGACAGCAGCAGCCAGGTACAGACCCTCAAAGACCCCCAGGTACCCCACGACTCTCCAGGTGTCCCTCAGATCCCCTGGGTTCCCCGCACAGACCTCTGTGCCCCTCAAAGATGACTGTGTCTCACCTCAAGGTCCCTCTATGCTGGGCAGACCTGAGCTCCTGGCCTTTGGGGTCCATTTGGGTACCATGGGAGGGTTGGGGTGGGGGTGGGGCAGGGGACCCCCCCCCCCCCACAACACCTTTGTGCCCCAAAAAACCCCTGTGTCTCCCTTCAGGGTCCCCATGGGTTGTATAGACCTGTGCTCCCAGGCACTGGGATTTCTAGGGGTCCCTCTGGGGAGATTGAAGAGGTTGTAGGGGGGTGGGGGGGTCCTGTGGGTCCCCCCCGACCCCTGTCTTGCCCCCAGGACACCAAAAGCAGCCTGACAGCACTGCACCTGGCCGTGAGAGGAGGCAACCTTGCCCTTGCCCACCTACTGCTGCGCCAGCCAGGCATGGCCCCCCGCCTCGTCAACATGAAGGTTTGAGGGACTTGTGGGGCTGGGGGAGCTCTGAGGGCTTCTGTGGGGGGCTCTGGGTTCCCCTTAGGGCTTTATGGGGCACTGAGGGACCTCTGTGGGGCTCTTGGGGCTGATTGGAGGGGTCTGTGGAGCTCTTAGGGGTTCCTCTAGTGGTTTGTGGGGTGGGAAGGGGCTCTGGGAGGCTCAGAGGGATCAAAAGGGTACTGGAAGCTTTGGGGTGTCTGTGGAGAGTCTGGGGAGGCCGGAGGTATTGGAATCAGAGCTCAAGGGTATCTGAGGTACCTCTAGGGGGGCTGGAGGGTGACTTGTGGGTACCCTGAGCCCCCTGACATCCCGCAGGCCCACGGGAACACCCCCCTGCACATGGCAGCAGCACTACCTGGGACCCCCAGCCAGGAGCCCCTTGTGAGGCTGCTCCTGGCCTGGGGTGCCGACCCCAGCGCCCGCAACCTGGAGCATGACCTGCCCCAGAGCCTGGTGCCCCCTGGGGCCCCTGGAGACCAGGTGAGACCCCCACGTCACCCTCACACCCAGCACCATCCCCAGCACCCCACTGCACCCTAAAACTTCCTCATGATGGGGGGAAATGCCCGGAATTGCTCCTAGAACACCAAAATCCCATTGTTTTGCCTCAGATCCCTGCTGCTATGCCCAAAAGTTCTGCTGCTTTATCCCCAAATCCTGCTGCTTTACCCCGTCATTTTCACAACCCCCCAAACCGTGGGGTCCTGTCCCAGGACCTTTGGGTGACATCCCCATATTCTGGGGTAGAACCCCGAGTTTTGGGGACCTCCCTGAAGCTTCCCTCTCCCACAGCTCCGCCTCCTCCTGAGGAGCCACCGGGGGTCCCATCGTCCCCCCCCCACCGCCGAGTGACATCAGAGGGGCGGGTATCAGATGGGGGGACACCCCCATATTGGGGGATTTCCTCATGTTAACTTTTCCTGATTTCAATGAAATTGCCCCCAAATTTCTGTGAAATGAGTCTGAACCACATTGGTTTGGTGGAGGGAGGAGCACAGAGGGGGTCCAGCTCCCCCTTGCCCTCCCCCCCAGCCTCATTAATGGGGGCTGCTAATGAAGCGTGTCTCCTCCAAATTGGGGGATTTGGGTGAAGTATGCCATATTGGAGGGGAAACCCAAAAACTGAGAGAATTCTGGAATTAAATAAAAACATTCTTAAAATCTGAGTCTGTTTTTTCCCAGTACCCTCAGTCTCTCCTCAGCCTCTCCTAGTGCATCCCAGTGACCACAGGAAAAGGAGGGGGTTCTGGAACAAAGGGCTTAAATTTGAGAAAACCTCCTTTTCTCTTCTTTTAAGGATTGAGTCATCAAAAAACCCTCCTTTGACACTATTTAAAGGCCTGGAATTAAGGGGGTAAATGGTGGGAAGCGTGAGGGGAAAAGAGCAGGAAACATGAGGGAGAAAGGGTGGGAAATGCAAGGGGAAGGAGGGTGATAACCATGAGCCAGCTGGGGTGACTCCCCGAGGTACCCCCTGCCCTAGGGGTGCTCCAGAGGAACTGGTGAGGGGAGCATCCCCCAGAACCATCAAACCCCTCACTGCACCCACCCAGTCCCCTCACAGCTAAACCATCCCAGCTCCCCCAATCCACCTTCAAACCTTCCCAACATCCCCCAAAACCATTTTAGCCAGCTACAGCTCCTCTTTAGCACTCTCAAACCTCACCCAGCACCACTGAAAGGCCAACTGACACCACCAAATCAATCCCTCCCAGTTCTTCTAAATCTACTCTATCACCACCGAAATTCCTCCTAGCATCTCCAACACCATACCAGCACCTTACAAAACTCCTCCTAGAGAGAGAAATTATGGAACTTTCCTAATTCATTTTTATACTTAATGGGGTTAATTAACTTTCAATTAATTAATTAATAATAAGCAGTGTAATTTTCCATTTTAGCCAGCATGTAGTAAAGTTTGTTTTTTTTTTCACAGACTGCTATTGTAAGAACAGTTTGGGACAATTATTGAAATTTAAAGTTTTACTAAACCAACCTTGATATCCATTAATGAACAAAGCCTGAGGGAGAGAAATGATGCTGAGAATTTGTTCTGCCAATTGACAGGGGCAATTTAAAGGACAAAAACACCAGTAGAAAGAATAGTCTTATTTTACTATGACTATTAAGGCAACACAAAAGTAAAATGCTACATTCAATATAACTACACACTTGGCTTTAGCACCAAGGGAAAAAAAGCAAGGTAATGCACCTAATTATTACTACACAAGAGACAAGAGAGTGATTGAGAAAGATAAATCGAAAATTGCCTAAATACTTGTACCATCCTCCAGAGTCTGCAGTCACTGGGGAGCCTCATTTCACAGTGAGGATCTGGAGAACCCTTCCCAGCAACTGGGAAAATCCTACACAGTGCATCCACTCATAGGTGAGGTCTCCAAATTCACCCCAAAACTGAGTCCAGCTTTTATAGGCCCAAACCAACAAGTCAAAGGGAGTTGGTGGTATTTTTGTCACAAAAATATTTGGATATGATGGCACACTTCCTGACCAGCAGGGGCCAGGGCTTGGCCAGAGCCCAGGCCTTGGCTGGAAGGGTTTCCCCTAAAATATCTTATAAAGAAGCCTCTATTCATGCCAGCTGGGAACATTTCTTAAAATGATACATTTCTTGCAGATAACTACACAAGGTTATGTGAAAGTTTCTGAAGCAGTGGGTTTGGTGTTAAACAGCTGGCAGAAGCATTTGTCATCTATTTTTAGCTCAATAACGGGGCATGAACTGGGAGGTTAAAGTGTGGTAAATGGGGATCAATGGGTCAATTATTTAACTCACATTTTAGCTAAATAATACTGATTGTCTTAGTGACATAATGCCTAGGGTTCATCTTGTAAATCAGCTCTGGCTGAGTCCTGCTGCTCAGGCCTAAGCACATCGGAACGGGATAGCAGGAATGCAAAATTTACAGATGACAAGAACATGTTGCAGAAACCAGAGATGAAGAAACTAAGACAATTCAGCATCTGTACTGAAACTCTCCCTGTGACAAAATGTGATGCTACAAATAGCTGAGAAAGAAAGTGCATGACACCAACGTGTTTCTACAGGAGCAGTTTGCCAGACTGCTTCTATCCTGACACATTTTTCTGTGCAAGAAACAGATTGACATTTCAGACTCTGCAAGACTGAAATTGTGTGACTACAGTGGAGGACAAAAGAACATTGCCACCATAGTTAGGTGCACAGTTTAAAAGCTGCAAGGAAATGCAGCTATCACTTGATTCTGGTGTGAATTTAAGTTTGCAGATGGAAGGGAAGGTCGGTGAAATCTTTCTGTTCTGGTGCAGTTTCTCAGAGAGAGTGAAGGACATTTTCAACTTTGTATCTTCACCGTTGGACACCCTGATACCTTAGGATTTTAGCTTTTTTATTGTTTATATATTTGTAATCCTGTAGTTTTTTAGTGTATAACTCCAAACTCCATGTGCAGTGTGAGCTGCTGCTTTCCCATTTTGGGCAGACACAACAATCCCTCTCCAGGCCTGGCAATCAAGGACACCTCACTGCCTCAGGCCCTGAGAGATGGAAACAAAAGTGAGTTGGGGGAGCAAACATGGGGTAAATGACTTCATTAGCTGAAGCTATAATTGGAAGATTAACCCCCAATATGCAAATGGCCCAAACTTAAAAAAGTGTGAAAACCCGTGACCCATTGTCCATTTCGGGTGCAGCCCCTGGCGGGGCTTTGTCTGCCCGAAATGAACCTGAAGGCCCTTCAATAAATATAACTACTTTTTATTGCCTTAATTTTGTCTGGCCTCTGTTTTTAGGTAGCTCCAGTGATGCCTTGGAGTGTCTCCCTAGAAGAGAGGCAAGGCAGAATTAAGATAATAAAGTGAATATTTATTAAAGCTCTTCAATAGACGCACTCTGGGCAGTCAAAAGCCTCGCACAGACTACACCCAAGATGGACGGTGGTCATGAGTTTTTCAGACAGATCTAAGTTTGGTCTATTTGCATATCAGGGGTTAATTGTCCAATTACAGCTTCAGGTAATGAAGTCAGATACCCCCAGCTTGCTCCGCCCTCCCTGATTCACTTGTGTTTATATTTTTCACAGCCTGAGGCAGAGGGTGTCCTTGGTTCTCAGGCCTGGATGGATTGTTCTGTCTGACCAAAATGTGAAGAGAACTTAGTAACACTCTATATGGAATCCAGTGTACACTGACGCAGAACAGGGTCTGAAAAACACGAAAAAGCTAAAAGCAAAATCACCCCAAGGGACCGCGACATCAATTTCAAGCGCACAGCGCCTCCCCGCGGCCGCTCAGCAGCCCCAGCAGGGGGCGCTGCCAGCCTACCCAAGGGCCCCCGAAGGCTCCAACGGAGCCCGGGGCGAGGAAACGCAGGGCTGGGCAAGCGAGGCAAAGGACATGGAGGTGTTATAAATGAAAAGTGACCCAGCCGAATCCAAAAATAAAAATAAAAATTTTATTACAGCGATGGAATTCTGTCTGAGCCAGCCACAAAGAAAAGGACAGTGCCCAGCCTGGGATCGGCACTGGGTGGGTCACAGGTTTGACTACTCCAGCAAAGAGTCTCCCTATGCCACACACCACCCTCTGGTACAAGCGGTTTTTATAGGGAATATTTTGCCTGAGGCTGGGATTTCAGCAATCAGCCTTTTCTTTCCATTCGAAGTCTTACATATTCATAAAGTCTCTTTTCCCTTCGTTGGGTTTGAACAATGAATTTCCCTGATGTAGTTACTGGAACACGGCATTCAGATGTATCAGCCTGGAGGGTTCCAGCGATCCCAGTCTCCAGTCTCGAGTTGTTGCCGGTTACCTCGAGAAACGACCCATCCCTGGGCGAGCCACAAGTATTAGCTTGTAAATGAGGTTTTATAAGGGACCAGTTTTTAAATATGTGGGGCAGCTTGCAGTGCAGACTTGAGTATCTTCCCAATAATATAAAATATTACGTACATCATATTATACTGGCGTGAATTATCTTTATTACATATAACACAGGTGATTCCTCTGTAAGCTGGGTCAAACGTACAAGGTGCTTATATAGCTTGAGTTATTCCAATATAACCTGAATCATAACTTTCTGTACAATGTAATAGCTCGTATATGATTAACTAGTTGCTTAATGCTTAAATAAACAGAAATTCGCCAAGTGAATAATCCCAAAAATAGACATGCATAACTCTATTGGGAAGCAGCAAGATGTACTAACGAGAAATCGGCAAATATAAAGCAAATAAGCCACAAAATGGAGAATTTAAACCACTTACATCCAGAAAGACCAAGGAACACCATAACTGCACATGCTCCGAAGACAAAGTTGAGAAGTTCAGATGCGAGGAAGACCTTGAGCCTTCATTGAAGAACACCCCCAACACTACCTAAATTGGGGAAGCACAAGCACAGTACAGAACTATTGCCTTGCCTAGAACTTCATTGACTTGTCAAGCCATGCCTACTCCTTCCTTTCCATGTCTTCCCATACCTTGCCTACCTCTCCCTTGAATTGTCTTGACTTTGTTTACCCCTCTCTTGCCTTCCCTTCCTGTGAGTGGAATTACCCTGGCTGGATGCCAGGCTCCCACCAAAGCCTGTCTGTCACTTCCCTAAATAAATGTAAAGTGAGGACAAAATATATACGTCATTAATTGAGGTAAGCGTCGCTGTTGAGGCAGGACAGGAATGAAAGAACTCCACTAAGAAGGCTTGATGAATGGAACTCAACTGTTTTTTTTCAAATATATCGCTCTCTTTATAGAGAGCATCGTGCAGACCAATTTCATTGGTCTTAAAGTAAAAACATCTCAGCCCGTTGGTGTGCAGTGAATGACGCATGGTGGCAGAACATATCTATAAACAATGTGAACAGCAAGAGAGATAGAGAATTATTTACATTCCTTTCTAATTCTTTCCCAGGCCCAGCCTGGCAGAAACCTCTCTTTTTCTCTCTGACTGAACTGAGAATACCCAAGGTTAAGGACAGAGAGAGATCTGCTCCGATCCATGGGCCCAGCATCTCGTATCACCAGACACATTGCAAACTCTTGGTAAAAGCTATTTACCGTCCTCCAATGCTGTCCATGTCCCAAGCCCAGGGCATTTCCTCTTGAACAGAAAAAGCTCCTCTTGGTTCTTGCTCAAGGAATCACTGCTGTTTCTTTTGGGCAAAATGAGGCAGATGGACCATCCACAAACATCCAGTCCCTACTGACGAATTCAGTCCTCCTCACGAGGTGGCACTTGTCAGACACACAGAGAAGCGAAGGTGACATCCTGGTGATAGTAAAAGGGTTTTAAAATAACGGGGATTTAGGGTTAAAAGGAAAATTAAGCTTAGTAGGCCCTGAAAAGAAAAATAAATACCCTAAGTACATGAAGACTTTGTACCTTGCCAGAACTGCACCTGTGTAGCTAGTACATGATAAATGATATAATTGTTAGATGTGATGATTGTTTGGTAATTAAATATAATTATTGTTTAATTGTAAGAATAATCATGAGAAACTATGGTCAGGGACCTAAGAAAGATCACGTGAAACTCGTGTTAATGTATACAATAGAATAATCTAAGTTTAATAATTCATATGTAAGTTATAAAACAATAGAATATAAAATACATTCAGCTCGAAAGCCATGTCGGAGTCAGATTTGGGTCTGTACCCCTGATTCCCGGAGCTCTCAATGAAAGTACCTGTATGTAATCATATCCCATGATTATGTGTGTTCCTGAACGCTAACACTGGCAAGGTTGATCCTTACCTTATGTACACTTTTGGGATTTTCCAGCCAAGCATAATACATTTCCTCCACACAGTTTGAACTAGTCCCACACAGAAATGGCTCGGCAGCCACCGAGATGTTGGAATGTGCTGGGTGCTGCCGGTCTGTGCAACAGCCTCTGCAGGGCTATCCCAGAGACACGAACGCTCAACACCGCGCTGTTAACGCGGGATAAAAGTAACGGCAACGTAAGTTAGAAAGCTGGCTCTGGCCGGCGCCCGTTATCATCCCTCAGGTCCCTCAGCCCTGCAGGCAGTCACCTTTATCGCGGAGGGGCTCACAATGCCAAGCCGAGCCGAACCGAACCGGGCCGGGCCGGGCCGGGCCGAGCCGTGCTGTGCCAAACCGAGCCGCTCCCTCCTCCCGGGCCCGCCGGAGCCCTCACGGCCCGAGGGGGCGTGGCTAATGCGGGGCGGGGCTAATGAGGGGCGGGGGCGGGGCTAATGGAGGGCGGGGCTGCGGTGCCTCGTCACGCGGGGCCGCTCCCGCTCCCCGCCCCGCCCGCGCGTCACGTGCGCGCGTCACGTGGCGCCGTCCCTGGGCGATGAGGTCGGCGGCGGGTCACGTGAGCGGTGCCTACGCGCGGCGGGGCCGGGCGCAGATGGCGGACGCGGAGGCCGAGGCGGCGGCAGCGGCGGCGCGGCCGGAGGTGCCGCGGGTGGTGGCGGCGCTCCGCGCTCGCCTCTGGCAGCTGCAGACGGAGCTGCGCGAGCAGGAGGTATCGGAGGCCTCGTCCCGAGCCTACTGCCGCGGCTTCTGCCAGGTAGGAGGCGGGCGGGGCGGGCCGCGGGCCGGGTGCGCGCTGAGGATGCGGCCGCGGTGGGGTCGGCGCTGCCGCTGCGCCGGGCTCGGGGCTCCGTGCCCACCCTCCCGGCGGGGCTGTGCACGCCCTGCCCAGGGCGCCCCGTGGGCTCTGCGCCGCCAGCCCGGAGCCGGGGCCGCGGGCACTGCTCGCCTTTGGGCTTTGGCATCGCTTCGCACCGCGGCACCCTGCGGCCCCCGGCTGGGTCTCTGGGGCAGGCGGGCCGCGCCGCATTGCTCGGTGCAGTCTTGGCTCGGTTCCGAGACCTCTGGTTGTTTCACTTGTCTCGGTGTCAAATCTGCGTATTGCGCCTTGTTTGAGATCTGCCGTGGGGTGTAAGGAATGCTTGCTGGCCTGTAAGGCCTTACAGGGCCCTTAAGTCCCTGAATGAGCTGTTCTTTGGCTATCTTGTCTTGACTACTCGCTTAGTGCAATCCAGAAGAAGATCGCCAGTTTCTAAATTGAGGCCCTACGTTGCAGAAGAAGGGCTGATCTTGATTAAAGGCACAGTGATAGAGTTAACTCATTCTTAAGTCAATTCTTCCAATGGTTGGTTTGTACTACCCTCACAGCATCATTTACTATGAGCTCTAGGGTTGAAAAATTGCTGTTACGATGGTTGGAGAGTTGTCCCTGTTGAGTATGAAGAGGTTATGGGTTTTAAAGTAAGAAAAAAAAAAATCTGTTTTCTAAGCTTGTTTACGGTACGTCAGCTGATAAGGCTGTAGTGTTTGGTGAATGGCAGAATCAGAGAAAAAAGCTTGCTGGGTTGCCCCAAATTATATATAAGTGGTGTTACCTTTCACAGTCTTCAATTTTGCATCCACAGGTTGTGTGCTGTGCCATACCATTCTGGGAGGATGTTTCGCACATCTCTTACTGAAACAAGACAATAAGTGTATTTTCTAGGTTTCAAAACTCTTTCAGGTGCAGCTGCACCCTGCTGTGTTTGTCCCAAATTCAGTATATGTGACCTTGCATTGACATGGAGCCTGCTACAAAGTGTCACTCTGTTCATGTAGGATTTTAAACAATTTTACTAAAATTGTTTCCAGTGGTGTACATTGTGTTAGAATTGACACAAATATTCAGCCAACTCTGAATAGCGGCTGGCAGGATAATCTGTGTGTGTGCATGTCCAGTTTCCCAGATTCCATTGGTACAGAAGTTTTAGAGATACTTGATCAGTGGAGTGTGGTGAGAGACAGTTCTGCTACCTAAAAAATAAAGCAAACAACAACAAAAAAACCCCATACCATGTCCCACAAATAATGTAGCCCTCTGGATCCTTGTGCTCTTATTGTAGTGTGGTTTTAAAGTACTGTGATAACACAGATAAAAATGGAAAAGGTTGGGTTTGGGTTGCCATCAGTCTGGCACTTTTTGGATTGTCATGCCTGTGCTCCAGGAGGTGCACTGGGGAACATGGAACTGTTGCTCCATCCTGAAGCAGCTTCATCCTTCATAGAGGGTGAATTTGTGATGTCTTTGTGCAGTCAGACCACTGTGGGTGGGCTGTAATTTTATATCTGGGTTTCCCCTGACAGGGGATATTTGTGATAACTTCAATAACTTAAGGTCTGCCTGTAAGTGAAATTTAGGGAGCTCAATTTTGTATTGATTACTTGGAAGGTACCACTGATACCTTGACATAAAGTTATTAAGCTACAGCAAAATGTGCCTAGAAAGAAGCTGAATTTATCTGGGCTTAAGTTTGATTTTGGGAAGCAGCTGACATAAGGAGACCTGAAATTTTTTATGTTTGCCATCCTGTGACTACAGCTGAGGCAGGGGCCTGGAAGGTGCTCTGTTTTGTTGTGGAAATTACCGTGGCTGCCAGACAAACTGTGAACCAAATTAGTGAATTTCCTGTGCTTTGGGCTGTCTGAATGCTGTTTTACTACTTGTAAACTTGTGCTGCTATGTGCAGCTTTCCAGTAGCTCATATGGGGAGTGATGCTGGGTGTCATAATTTCCTTGAAGATCCCTATTTTCAAGCAGAGAAATAGTACTGTTGTCCAGGATAACAAAACAAAGAAACTGCTGAAGCCTAAATATTGGGTTGACTCTGCATTTTTATGTTGTATAGGCATTAATGCTTTGCACATTCACAGCTGTTGGTTTTCTGAAATTTTTGAAGATTACATGTTGAGTGCAATGAGATATGGTTAAGAACATGAGAAAGTATTTTTCTTAAAAAGCTGTACCAGCAGGTCAGGAAACTTTGAGATCTTCGTCTTTAAATTGGACCTGAGCAAAAAAATGATGCTTCTGAGGAAGTGGAGCTAAGCAGGTGTTCTGTCATTGCAGAAAGTGAAAATCTGAGCAGTGTGGAGGGGCTAGGCTGGCCTGTACGTTACACCTTAGGTGGCTGTGGTCTCTGCACTTCTCACCCCACTTTCCATCAGATGTGTTACTAGAATCAGAGGAGGGTGGAATGAGGTGTAAATGGGCGTGTAAATTAGCCAGACGTTAAATGTGTGAATACTCTCTCAGGTAATTATACTGTAAGGTAGTAATTGGTTCTAAATTGTTACTTGAGAATCCCTTAAACATGTAGGTTATCTAATTCTGTCAGGTTAATAATTTTTCCATCATAGTTTTTATATAGACTGCCAGGAGAAATGGAGAAATCCATAGCGGACAACTAAACAACTATGACTTGTGAAATAACACAAGGGCTTTGAAGAACTTCTTTAATTCAGTTACTACATTTGGCTTGTCAGTATGCTTATACTAATAGCATCATAATGTTCCAAACTACAGCTCCTTGAAGCCTAAGCTATTAATAAATCTGTTGCCTTGAATCTGTTTTTTCCACTGAAACCATTGTTTATGTATTTGACAAGAAGTTTCTCATAAACAGTTACTCAGTGAATTCCTAATGCTTTAAGACTTTGATCCCAGTGCTCAGATTGCACTTGAGCAAGGCTGCAGTGTTTACCAGAAAATTTATTTAATCCTAGGAAGTATTCTGCTGTGTTTTATGATTTACATAGACCAGGTAGTTTATGATCAAAGTGTCTGTCAAAATAATTGAGTACTAAATATGGCTTTTTAAATAGATTTGGTATAATGGGTATATTTTTAGAAAAGTGCAGGGATTGGTGTGTTTGATCTGTTTCTCTAGTCACTGTAATGGTAGTGCTACTGCTGGCTTTACTAAACAGCTGATTTATGATAGTCATCAGTTGATTCTCTCTGAGGATTGCATCTTGAGAGTCTTTGAATGTGATTTGATGCTACAAAGCAATGTATGATTTGAGTTATATTATCCAATCTTTCATTAATCTGTTCAATAAACTTGAAGACTGGTATTATTCACCATTATCTGCTGTAGCTAATGATCTTTGTGCTGTGCTTAAGGATGGTTTCTGCAAACTTCCAATCCCACACCCCCAGCTTAAGTATTATAACTTATATTTTGTGGGTTTTGGGGAAAGTTTGTGAATTCCATTCACCCAGAAGTTCTGTTCGTTAATTGTTGGAGAGTGATCCACAAAACCATGGATTACTGATTCTTGGATGGTGTTTTTTATAGATTTCTTTTTCTTAGGTGTAACACATGATTCTGCTAGTCTGCATTGGTTTTAGGGGCTAGGATAAGTATAGTGTAGTTATATCACTGATGTAACATTGGCTACTGGCCACATATTTCTTGCTGTGATGGAGTATAGGTTTTGTCTTAGAAGTTTTTTGGTCATTATTATGACTGCATTTGGCTTTAGCAAGCTTGTAGTAGGGTTTGTTCCATAGTGTCCTCCTTCCATTCACCATCTGATAAGATGGGTTTTTTAAAGGTGTTAAAATACGTTTGTTGTATCAGAGTCCCAACTTTAAGTGATTTGAAAACTGATGTGGCTCACCATCCTTGTAGGTCAATTTGACTTGTTTTGAATGGTAGGGTGAAGCACTCTGAACTTTTTTTTTTTCCCCATGCAGTCTTCACAGAATTCACAGAATTACTAGGTTGGAAGAGACCTTATAGATCATTGAGTCTAACCCATGCCCTAACACCTCAACTAAACCATGGCATTGAGTGCCACATACAGTCTTTTTTTAAACACATCCAGGGATGATGACTCCACCACCTCCTTGGGCAGGCCAAGTCTTGGCCCTAAGGATTCCTAAAAGCACAGCCTCTTTTGTTGGTTTTATTTTCTTTGCAGCTGGCTTTGACCAAGGTTGTTTCCTTGTTTAGTCTAGGGATAATGCCACATGGCAGAGGGAGCCGCTAAGTACAGTCACTGCTCTGGAGGTGCAGGAGGCTGTTTAGGGAAGGGCTGATGCTTGTGAAGCAAGCAGTCGGCAGAGCTAAGGTGTCCTCAGCTCAGAGCTCCACTTGCTCTCAAATTGTACCTCATAGCACAGCATGCTGCTGTAGGTACCTTTTAAAAACTTTGGGATGTACTAGTGTTGTCCCTGTGTTGATGTGATTCCTGTTAAACCTGGCTAGATTTTATATTGCTGCTATAGTATTGTGCCCAGGTAATGTGGGATTGCTGTGGCCAAGGAGTAAAATCTGGGGTAATTTTGTGTTTGAAAAATGCCTACATGATGATCTGATCTGGGTTTTGGATTCCTTTCTGATGCCTTCATGTTTGCTGTGTGGGAAATGCATGGATCTTTAAAACA